TGTGTTTGAATTCTATCCATTTACTCCAAGAAACAGACAAGTTAGACTTCAAGACTTAGGCAGCTGAGAAGCTTCAGGCTCCATGTATTAACTGATCAGTACTCATTTGTGCCTCTGACGTGGTTTGACAAAATAAGGCAGATGTACAAACAAAATCACAAATCAGAGTCACAAGTGGAAAAGCAGTGTTCTCATTTCAGCAAAAATTCTGCTTTTTCTTGGATGTCGTGTCTGGTTTCTAGTTAATACCACATACATACGGAAACATTCGGTCAGAATGTTTGCTCCCTGCAAGGAAAAGGGGTCATGAATCTATTTGAGCACCTAATTTGTTTTTTCCAGAAAATGTTACCAAATTGATGTTATCATAACTTAATGAGCCATGACACGAAACAAGGCTGAAGAAGAGTTGACTTTTTAAAAATGGCACACTGTAATAAACCATACCATACCTTAGTCCACTGCCACAACACTCTTCCCACGGAGACTAGCTGCCCAACCATCTCACATATCTGAGGTTTGAACTTTCTACAAGGATCGAAGTAGCCACAGCCAATAATTCCTGGAAAATAAACAAGAAGGTACAAGTTTACTAAAAGATTAATGAGTCATCACAGACAGACTGACTAAGCAGAGGAGGTTAAGAATTTTTCTCAATGGATTAGCTAAGACTGGGAGTCAGCAAGTGTCCCAGCCGAGCTCAGTTATAAGTATGTTATATAATAGCTCACGTAACCCCCCCAACATCCGACGAGAAAGGATAGGACATAGATTATTCTTATTATTATCCCCAGTTTATCATGAGCTTAGTAATTTGCTCATGGGTACAGAGTTGGCATACAGGTGAACCTGAAACTTGAACCCAGGCAGCCTGGCTCTGGAGACTGTAAGTCAGCATTCACCTGGAGCATATGAGAGCTTGGAAGGGCTTAGACCTGATTTCTTCACCTTACCAAGGAGACAGACCCAGACAGGCAAAGCAAATTGTTCAAGGTCACATGGATTGGTTGTTTACAGACTGGAGTTAGAACACACATCTCTTTTTTTTATTTTTTATTTTTTAATTTTATTCATATGTGCATACAATGTTTGGGTCATTTCACCCCCTTCCCCACCCTTCACTTCCAGGCGAAACTATTTTGGCCTTATCTCTATTTTGGTGGAAAGAGAGGTATAAGCATATGGAAGGACCAAGGGTTTTGCTAGTTGAGATAAGGTAGTGTACAGGAGCTGACTCGCTTAAATTTCCGTAATGGTGTTACCTTCTAAAATTATTCTTCTCGAAGAACCTTTTCTCTGTTCCTTGGTCCCCTTTCCTATTTGGCCCCTGGAACTTTAAAAGTTATCGTGCATTAGTTTTCTCTGCATTGAGGCAACAAATTGCTATCTGATTTTGGGTGATTACCAATCCTCATACCTCCCTCCTGTGCTTCCATTTATTTCATTAGTGATCAAAAGTCTCAATCCCAGTGTTGTGTTGCCCTTATCTAATGTCCTACATTTTGGCTCGGGCTAACCTCACTCAGAATGGTGTTTTCTCCCAGTTCCATCCCATTTTAACCAGGAATGATAACATTTCATTCTTTCTTACATGCGGCTAATTAAATTCCAATTAAGAATAATACCAACATTTCTTAATCCACTGTCAGTAAAAGTAGAATCGTGTGTTTCCATTTAACTTTGGCTTATTGTAATAAGTGCTGCATAAACATGGTGTGCGGTGCCATCTGGAGTAACTGAGTACCCGTCTTTTGGCGGTTATACCCCAAGAGTTGGTATTGCTGGATCAATGGTAGATCAATTTTACTTTTTAAGTAGCCTCCAATTTTTTTCCAGAGGTTGTACTAGTTTAACATTCCCACCACAGTGTAAGAGGGTCCTCTTCCAACACCTGTTGTTAGTGGGTTGCTAACGATGCTATTCTAACAGGGGTTGAGGTAGAAATCTTAGTTGTGTTTTAATTTGCATTCCTTATTGTTAGGATGTGAATTTTTTCATGTGTTTTTGGCCTTTGAATTTCTTCTTTGCGAATTCTGTTTATGTTCACTTTGCCATTTCTTTATTGGTTCATTTAATTTGGGGAGAATAAGTTTTTGAGTTCCCTATTATTCGGGTTATCAGTTCCTTGTCTGATTGTAGCTGGCAAATTTTTTCTTCCACTCTGTGTGTCTGCTTTCAGTATTAGAGACCATTCTATTTGTTCAGCAGAGCTTTAGTTTGTAATGAAGTCCCCATTATCTATGCTATCTCTTAGTGCTGAACTGGCTGGGACTCTGTTGAGAAAGTTCTTGCCTATACACCTATTTAAGTCAAAGTAGTTCCTACTCTTTCCCTACCAACTTTAGAGTTTGGGTCTGATATTAGATCCTTGATTCCATTTTGAGTTAATATTGGTATAGGTGATATTACATGGATCTAGTTTCAGTTCTTTGCAGGACTGCTAACAGTTTTCCAAGCAGTTTTTGTTGAAGAGGCTGTCTATTTCTCCATCGTATATTTTTAGCTCCTTTGCAAACACAAGTGGTTTATAGTTGTGTGGCTTCATATCTGGGTCCTCTATTTCTGTTCCACTGGTCTTCATGTCTGTTTTTGTGCCAGTACCATGCTGTTTTTTATTGTTATTGCTTTGTAATATAGTTTTGAAGTCAGGTATTTGATACCTCCAGATTGTTCTTTTGACTGAGTATTGCCTTGGCTATTCGTGGCTCTCTGTGTTTCCATATAATTTAACGTAGATTTTTCATCTCTTTAATGAATGTCATTGGAATTTTGATGGGAATTGCATTAAACATGTAGATTACTTTTGGAGTATAGACATTTTACTATGTTGATTCTACCAATCCATGGCATGGAGATCTCTCACTTTCTATAGTCTTCCCTCAATCTTCTTTCTTCAGAAGTTAAGTTTTCCTTGTAGAGGTCATTCACATCTTTTGTTAGGTTTACACCTAGTATTTGATTTTTTTTTGAGGCTATTGTAAATGGAATTGTTTTCATATATTCTTTTCAGTTGTTCATTTATACATAGAAATGTAATGATTTTTTCTATGTTGATTTTATATTCTGCTACCTTTTCTTAGCTATTGATGATGTCTAGAAGCTTCTGAGTAGAGTTTTTTGGGTCTTTAAGGTATAGGATCATTGTCTGCAAATAGAATATTTTGACATTTTCTTTACCTATTGTATTCCTTTTATTCCTTTCTTCTTGCCTAATTGCTCTGGCTAGGAATTCCAGTAGTGGAGTAGTGGGCATCCTTGTCTGTTCCTGATTTTAGAGGGAATGGTTTTCAGTTTTTCTCCGTTAAGTATAATGCTGGCTGTAGGTTTGTCATATATAGCTATTAATGTTGAGGTACTTTCCTTCTATTCCTAGTTTTCTTTAGAGCTTTATCATGAAATGTGTTGGATCTTATCAAAGGCTTTTTCTCATCTATGAGATGATCAAGTGGTTTTTTGTCTTACTTCTGTTAATGTGGTTTATTACATTTATTGATTTTCGTATGTTGAACCACCTGCATTCCGGATGAGCCTACTTGGTCGTGGTGATAATTTTTGATGTGTTGTTGAATTCGGTTTGCCATTATTTTTGTTGAGGATTTTTGCATCAATGTTCATTAAGGAGATTGGCCTATAGTTCTCCTTTTTGGAGGTGTCTTTGCCTGGTTTTGGATAAGTGTAATACTGGCTTCATAAAATGTGTTAGGCAGTTTTCCTTCCCTTTCTATTTCGTGGAACAGTTTAAGGAGGGTTGGTATCAGTTTCTTTAAAGGTCTGATAGAATTCAGCAGAGAATCCATCAGGTCCTGGACTTTTCTTTTGGGAACTCTTGATTGCTGCTTCAATTTCATTTTGTGTTATAGGTCTATTCAGGTGATTAATTCCTCTTGGTTCAGTTTTGGATGATCATATGTATCTAGAAATCTGTCCATTTCTTTAAGATTTTCAATTTATTTGAATATAGGTTCTCAAAGTAGTCTCTGATTTCCTGGACTTCCATGGTGTTTGTTGTTATCTCCCCTTTTGCATTCCTGATTCTTACTAATTTGGGTTTTTTCTCTCCTCATTTTAGTCAGGTTTGCCAGGGTCTATCGATCTTGTTATTTTTTCAAAGAACCAACTTTTTGTTTCATTAATTCTTTGTATGTTTTTTTTTGGTTTCTATTTCATTGATTTCAGCTCTTTTTTTATTTCTCTCCTATTTGTTTTGGGATTTGCTTGTTTCTTGTTTTTCTAGGAGTTTGAGATGTATCATTAGGTCATTGATTTGGGATCTTTCAGTCTTTTTAATATATGCACTCATGGCTATAAACTTTCCTCTCAGGACTGCCTTAGCTGTGTCCCATAGGTTCCTGGTAGGTTGTGTTTTCATTTCATTGACTTCCAGGAACTTTTTAATTTCCTCTTTTATTTCATCAATGCCATTGTTCATTAAGTAATGAGTTATTCAGTTTCCAGCTGTTTGCATGTTTTTTTCTTTACTTTTTTGTTGTTGAGTTCTAGTTTTATGCATTGTGATCAGATAGATACATGGTATATTTCTATTTTCTTATATTTGCTGAGGCTTGCTTTGTGCCCTAGGATATGATCTATTTTGGAGAAGGTTCCATGGGCTGCTGAGAAGAATGTATATTGTGTAGAAGTTGGATGAAATGTTCTGTAGACATCAACTAGGTCCATTTGATCTATTGCATATTTTAGATCTTGGATTTCTTTATTGATTTTTTGTTTGGATGACCTATCTATTGATGATAATGGGTGTTAAAGTCTCCCACACCACTGTGTTGGAGTTAATATATGCTTTTAGGTCTTTCAGGGTATGTTTGATGAAATTGGGTGCGTTGACATTGGGTGCATACAGGTTGATATTGATTATTTCCCTTTTGGTCTATTTCCCCTTTTATTAGTATGGAATGTCCTTCTTTTCTCGTTTGATCAATGTAGGTTTGAAGTCTACTTTGTCAGAGATAAGTATTGCTACTCCTGCCTGTTTTCGGGGCCATTGGCTTGGTAAATCTTCTTCCAGCCTTTCATCCTAAGCCTATGCTTATTTCTGTCAGTGATGAGTCTCCTGTAAGCAACAAATTGTTGGATCTTCTTTTTAATCCATTTCATCAAGCGGTGCTTTTGATGGGGGAATTAAGTCCATTAACATTAAGTGTTAGTACTGATAGGTATGTGGTGATTCCTGTCATTTAGTTGTCTTAGTTGTTTGAAGGTTTGATTGTGTGTACCTAAGTTGATTACTCTCTACTGTCTTGCTTTTCTTTCCTGTGTTTGGTGCTGCCTGCCTTTCATGGTTAAGTTGGGTTTCACTTTCTGTGTGCAGAATCCCTTGAAGAATCTTTTAGTAGTGTGGCTTTGTGGTCACATATTGTTTTAGTTTCTGCTTATCATGGAAGACTTTTATTGCTCCATCTATTTTGAATGATAGTTTTGCTGGGTAGAGTATCCTGGGGTTGAAGTTATTTTCATTCAGTGCCTGGAAGATCTCACCCCAAGCTCTTCTTGCTTTTAATGTTTCTGTTGAGAAGTCTGCTGTGATTTTGATGGGTTTACCTTTGTATGTTATTTGTTTTTTCTCTCTTACAGCCTTCAATATTCTTTCTTAGTTTCTGTAACTTGTTTTTAATGATAAATGCGTGGGTAGTTCTATTTTGGTCTGGTCTGTTTGGTGTCTGGAGGCCTCTTGCATCTGTATGGGAATATTTCTCTAGATTTGGGAAATTTTGTTATTATTTTGTTGAATATATCACGCATTCCCTTCGCTTGCACCTCTTCTCCTTCTTCGATGCCCATGATTCTCAGGTTTGGTCTTTTGATGGAGATCAGTGAGTTCTTGCATTCTTTTCACAGGTCTTGAGTTGTTTAATAATAGTTCTTTTTTTTTTATTACCATTTCATCTTCAAGTTCTGAGATTCTGTCTTCTGTTTGTTCTATTCTGCTGGATTGGCCTTCCGTTTTGTTTTGCAATTCTGTTTCGTTCTTTTTTCTGAGGTTTTCCATATCCTGAGTCGTTTCCTCTTTAATGTTGTCTATTTTCGTCCTGAGTTCATTTATCTCTTTATTAATCGTGTTCTTTGTTTCACTTTGGTGTTTATACAGTGCTTCTATGGTTTCTTTTATTTTTTCTTGTGTTTTTTCAAATTCTCTATTTTTGTTGTCTTGGAATTTCTTGAGTGTCTCCTGTACATTTTGGTTGACCATATCCAGTATAATCTCTATAAAATTCCCATTGATTATCTGTAGTATTTCTTCTTTTAGATTATTCTTGTGGGCTTCATTGGGTTCTTTGGCATAGTTTACCTTCATTTTGTTGGAGTCTGGATCTAGTATCTGTTTTCTTCATTTCCCTCTGGTTCCTGTACTAATTTATTACTGGGGGGAAACTGGTTTCCTTCTTTTTTCTGTCTTCCCATCATTGCCTTTGCTATTGTTACTGTCCCTGTACTCACACATCTCTTGACCTGTAGTCAGTTGACACTTTGGCTTGGGATAGGCAAGTAGCCATTCCTAACAATACTCAGAAAAATGGGAGTGTGACTAACTTTTTTACTCTTGGGAAGCCTGGGTAGTAGGTTTATAAACTATTCTTAACATCTGAAAATGCCTTTGATTCAGACTGCAGAAAGCAAGCTCACTCCAGTGAGTGTCTAGTAGGTAATGTGTCCAGATATGGGCATGGTATTTCATAGAAATATGTACATAAATATCTGTTCAGAAATGCACAGCAGGTTTATGAAGCAGGGAGCATACTATCAAGACACTGTGGTGGGGGAGGGTTCGGTCACAAAGACTATAGAAGAGTTGTCCTGGGGAAACATGAAATTGCCCTCCAAAGTCATGGTTAGCCTGCTCGATGCCTTATCAGGCCCTTCTGCTTCCTGAGTGTTTGAGATTTTCTCCATCCTGTGGGGCAAGTGCATGACGAGAAGCATGGGGTCTGGGATCAGAACATGGGGATAGCACACTGTCTGGCTGTAGCGAAAATGGCCTTGACCAGGCAGCTATTTCACTTTGCCAAGCCTCATTTCTGGTTTATTTTCTGTATCTTTTTAAATAAATCAATCATCCCGAAGAGTGTTTCCAACAGCTAACATTCATGCACAGACCACAAGACTGAAAACACGACATTGCCCCAGTACCATGCAAGCCAGTGTTCACCCTTGATCACCCCCATCTAGCCAAAGCCACTACTCCAACTTGACAAAAAGCAGGAACTGCTTTTCTTGACAACTCTGCCACTCTATTTTTGAACTTCAACTTCTTTTTAAAATTTGAACTTATTTAATGGAATGCTGTATCTCTCCATGCTTTGTGTCTTACATTCTACGTCTTTAGGCTCTTCTTCCATGTCGAGACATGTATATTGCCCATTTGTTTCACTGCTGCATAGCATTATACTATTTCCTTGCCACAATTTATTCACCCAATTTTACTGACAAGAAGCATTTGGGTCATTTCAAGTTTTTGCCATCATGAACATTATTCCATGAACAATCTTGTATAAATCTGGTGCACATATACAAAACTGATTACAGATGGATTGAGGACCTAAATGTGGAAGGCAAAACTGTACAATGTTTGGAAGAACGTCTTTGTGAGGCCTGTGACTCAAAAAACACAAACCACAAAGAAACTCATGATAACTTAGTAGCACCCAGAAATGCTACTACCTAGAAGTCACAATACCAAATTGTTATCCAAAAGACTTACGACAATTCATACTCCCGCCAGTGGGGGAGGAGAATTTCAGCTGCTTCACACTCTCATGAATAATTGATTTTGTCAGAATTTTGCATTTTGACAAATCTAGTGGGTATAAAATGGTATTTCCTTGACATTTTTATCTGCACTTTTCCAAATACCAATGGTGTTTACATTTGTTTATTGACCATTTAGTATCCCCCTTTTACTGTGTCTTGGTTTTGCCCCTTTTTTGGCAGTACTGCAATTTGAACTCAGGGCCTTGTGCTTGCTAGGCAGGTGCTCTACCACTCAAGCCATGCCCCAGGCCTTTTTGCTTTCATTATTTTGGAGCTAGGATTTTGCGTTTGTGCCTGGATCTTCCTAGACCACCATCCTCCTACTTATGCTTCCCATATAGCTGGATGATAGGCATGTGCCACAATGCCCAACTTATTATTGGTTGAGATGAGATTTTGCAAACCCTTTACCCAGGCTAGCCTCGAAGTGCAATCTACCAATATCCACCTCCCAAGTAGCTAGGATTTACAGACATGAGCCACTACGCTTGCTTTCTTCTGACTATTTCACTGGATTTCCTGAAATATTCAGAATGTTAAATTTTTGTTATTATATGTATTAAAAATTGTTTTCTTTCACTTTGAAGCTTTTCTTCATTCTTCTAATGGTATTTTTATTTTAAAATTATTTATGTATTAGTGGCATTTTTAAACAAATAATTCTTAATTTTAATCTAGTGACATTTTTATTAGTGCATATAAATACAGAGGGTTTTCACTGTGGTATTTCCATGCATGCATATAATGTACTTTGATCAAATTCATCCCTTCTTTCTTTCTTCTTTCTTCATCCACTGACATTTATCAAAAATTTCCTTTGCTTTTGTACTCCCCCCTTCTCTCATTTAAGAAGTCCTTTCCTAGTTAAGGTCATTCAGGTGTCTCCCTATATTTTTTCCCAAACATTTAACAAGTTTGCCTTCCATATTCAGGCCCTTAATCCATCTGTACTTGACTTTATGCCTGTTGTAAGATAGAGGGTCAATTTAGATTATCTTCCTGTAGGAATCACTAACTATTCCAGTACCACTTATTGAAAGTTTCCCCTTTCCCTTCTGGCCCACGGTACTTCCAGGTCAAGTAACTAATGCCTACCTATGCACACTCTGTTCTTCTGGATGTACATAATTTTTGATAGTACAAATTATGTGTGCTTAAATTTGATGTCAAAAATCTTATTTTCTTTAATTAACATGTCATGTGCTACACTTGATTTGGTACATTTGCATTATCCACGTCAAGTAAACCAAAACACAAAGCGTCCCTTTACCTCTAATGTCGAGCTTCAGCAAAGTTCTTTCTAAATATCTCTGAGTCTTAAAATGGGCTACAATTGTGAGTCATGTTACTGTTTAGTCCTTCTTTTCTTGAGATTTCAATCTCCATTTCAGATTCTTATTCCCTATTTTAGACAGAGACGTTTTAGTTCTTAAATAAAGCTTTGCATGGTTTATGTCCGTCATGGAACCCAATTTTAAAAATAAAAACCAAGAATATCCTTACCAAAAATTTTGTCTATTGATGTATTTGAAGGCAATGTGCAGTTGAACACAGTGAACTGTCTTTTTAAGCGTTGTGGAATATCATTTCGCCCACCTCCAGGGTGAATCATTGCTGCTATGAGCTGCACATCAACAATGGTGGTGAAGTCTCCAGGTTTATCCAAGCTATACATTCCTTCCATCTCCATCATCTGCCGTACAATCTCATTAGTTATCTGAAATTTCACACAGAAATATTTTTATAATGCACCACTATCATAGTCCTCCAGTGCTTCTGTAAAATAACATTTATGAAATTAGCAGAAAACATTCAATGAGGTGTTTGTGAACACTGATGATCACCTCAAGACAATCTGACTTAAGGATGCCACCTGCTGACTCTAAACCATAAAGTTAAACTGTCTGAAGTGTCCTTTGCCACACTGATGAAAAGTGATTTCCAGATCAATTTAGATAGGTGCTTATGAGATATTTGGTCCAATTACAACAGAACTTAAGAGTTACATGTTTCGCTAATAGATGTCTTTCACATTCAACACCAACACTTCAAAATACTTTAGATCGAATGTAGGACGGCTTCAGCCCTGAGCTTTCAGTATCATATTATTTAATGCTTTGGTTTGGGGTTTTATATGCTTGTCTGATCTTCTCTATAGCTTCCAACACTGCTAATACTCCCTTCTTTCTTCAATTTTCTTTTCCTCAATTCTTTCCAGGTTCCTCTGGCAGTGCCTGGATCACTTCCTGCTATTCTTCACCCTCCTATCTTCACACATCTCTTCTCACTATTGCAGGGACATCATCTCAACTCTATATCCTGAAGCATCTTAACTGTGTAACTCTAGCTTCAGATTCCCTTATAAGCTCCACACTTGTGTATCCAAATTCCTGTTGGGTAGCTCCAAATGGAGAGCACATAGTACCTCAAATTTAATACTCTTTCATTCAACAAACTTTTTTTTTGTTTATTTGCTTGTTTTTGAGGTACCAAGGATTGGACCCAGGGTCTCACACATGCTAGGCAAGCACTCTACCACTAAATTACAGCTCTGACTCACCACATTTTTTGAGACAGAGTCACACTAAGTTGCCAGGCTGGGATCCAACCTGTGATCCACCTGCCTTGGCTTCCCAAGAAGCTGGGATTACAGGTTTGCACAACCACTCCTGGCCAACAAGCATTTAATGAATGATTACTATATTCCAGGCTCTCTTGTAACATATACAAAAATCCCTCTCTTCATGGAGCATACATTCTCATGGTGGGAGACAAAATGTACAATGTATGGGTTTGTCTGGAAATAGAATGATATGCGCTAAGTTTTTTGGAGAAGATAAAGCATAGAAAGAAAATAGAAGGTTCTGAGGTGAACTGAATATGGAAAGCAGGGAGGCTTCACTTCACATGACAGATAAGCCAACAACTGAAGGAGGTGAGAAAACAAACATTTAGATACCTAGGGAAAGAACATTCTAGGCAGAGGGAATGGCACATGTAGACATGCTGAGTGAACAGCATACCCATCAAGTATGAGAATCAGTGAACATAGCTGGAGCTAAGAGTTATGGGGAGCTGAGATCACTCAAGTGTAGGGTCTTTGGGTGTTGGTAAGGATTGGACATTTGCATCCTGTTGAGTCTGAGAGGATCTGGAGCACAGGCATGTATGATATCTGATTTATGTTTTTACTGGATGCTGATCTGAGAACAGACTGAGAAGGACAAGGGAAACAGGGAGGCAATGAGGAGGCACAGTAATGGTCAAGAAGAGTGGTACCAAGTGCTGGCAATGGAGACCAAATTCTGGATATAGTTTAAAGACAGAGCCAACATGACTTGCTGACAGATTGTATGCAAGGCTATATTTCTTGAGACAGAGAAGACTATTGGAAGTTCAGGTTTTGGACATGTTGAGTTTGAGATCCAACTGGACATCCCTAGCCAGACAAATGGGTTTGGAATTCAGGAATTTCTCAGCTTAGAGATGCTAAGGGTGAGTCAGATTTAAACATGCTTCCACTCTCCCCACCTTCCACCTGTGGTTGGTCTGCCCTGAAGCAGAAAACAGCCATGCAGAATTGTCTGGGATTCATCACAGGATGAGTACTGAGTTTCTAGTGGTGTCTGGGGTGAACAGGGATAAAGAGTAGGACAGGACTAGGCCTAATGGACTCAAGGCAGATGCTCTTGAAGAAGCAGTGCATGTCAGTGGGATCCCATTGGCACCATGCCAAATTCTGGCAACATTGGTGAGATCCCCTAATAGAGAGTGACTTGGGTAGACTGATAACTACATCTAGGACCATGGTATGATGTACAGTTAATAAATAAATGAGGTGTTTTATTTTATTTTGTTTTGTTTTAACCAACATGTAGTCATCAGAGAGAGAATGCAGAGTGAAAAGTGAATTCAAGGATGAAACTGGAGAAAGGCAGAAGCAAGAGAATACCCAGAAAGGACACTGACATCATCATTGTGGGAAACCATACAGGTATTTTTTAAGAAGGGAAAAGTCAAAAAGGCTGAAAATTGTCATTGGACTTGACCAAAAATACTGATTAAGCATCAGCTACATGAGATAATTTAGTCCTACCTGATCTCCCCACTCATTAATCATGGGCATATTAATATCATCAATGAAGATAGTCATTTTCCTCCCTCCTGGAGGCCCATATGTGCTTCCCATTCGCTTATCCACATAGCTTTCGATTGTTCTCTAGAGAAAAGGAAATGGTTTGTCATGCACTAGACTTTACTCCATATTTCTAAAGACAATGAACAGTTTTTTCAGAGTGGAATATAATTTACTTGTGCATTTACAAGTGTAAAGATAATTATGAAAGTATATACTGTTAAATTTTTTTAAAAAACAAGTGATGGGAACGTTAATCACTAATTTATATCAAAATAATTCGCTGGGAAATTCAGCTTCAGCCTCCACACTAGCCCAAAATGTGCTACTTGGGTTTTTGCTTCAACCCCAGCCGTAAGAAGGCTGAATGCCAACTGTGGCCCATTTTAATGTAACCACCACTTTAAACTTTTATTAATGTTTATGACTACAGCAAATTATGGGTTTTACCTGAAACATCATTGGTTCTGTGGCAGAAGAAAAGTTTAGAACTTTGGACAGCTGGACTTCAGGATCATATTTTTTCAAGTAGGCTTTCACCATGACGGTTTTTGCAGTTCCCTGCTCTCCTGTGAGTAAAACAGCCTGCAATCATGAGAGATTTCAGTGGTATTGAAAAGGTGTTATAACACATGTACAGGCAAATATCTTAAGACTTTTAACAGCTACACTTGCATACTATAAATTAATACAAGCAATTTTCATTACTTTTTGCAATAATACTAACATTCAAATAAATCCTAGTAGAGTTTTGGGGGGGTTGGTTGTACTGGGGTTTGAACTCAGGGTCTTGCTCTGGCTATGCAGGTGATCTACTACTTAAGCCACATCTCCAGCCCTTTTTGGTTTAAGGTCTCACATTTATGCCCGGTTAGCCTGAACTGGCTTTATACTCCCTGGGATGATAGGCATGTGCCACCTCACCCAGGTTCTTTTTATTAGTTGATATGGGGTCTCCTGAACATTTTTTGCCAGGGCTGGCTTCAAACCACAGTCCTCCCAGTCTCTGCCTCCTGAGTAGCTAGCATTACAGACATGTGCTGCTGTGCCCAGAGAGTTAAAGATTTAACTGTAAAATTCATACAGTGCTAAAAAGTGCTGGAAGAGAACATAGCTATTTGCACGGCCATAAGGGGTATGAAGAGACTGAAAGCAGATACACACTTTCCTCAACATCTCAGAGGACAGTGAGTTGGAAAGTGTCCTGGAATCTGGGGTTCACTTGCCAAAAGTGTTCCCATCCAGTGACACACCTCCAGGCCCTGCTGTTGGAATTTAACTTTTCTATCAATAGCATGTGGAAAGGACTATGTTCCTTACATGGCTTGTGATCATCTAAAAACTTATCTATAAACTTACTTTATATTGTTTTGCAATGGTGTCTATCAGAAAATTTGTCCTAATATTGTCAACATTTGGAACCAAAATTGATGAGTATTCCGGAATACTGTCAGTTGGATAGTAATACGGCTGAAGTTTCTTATTCCAGTGCTCCCAATCCCCTGCAAAATAAGTAAACTTTCATCTTAATAAAAGTGTATTCTTCAAGAGCTGCATCAGAAGACCACAGTGTAAGCTCCATAAACAAGCGGCTGAATCACATAAACATTTAAAATATTTCCCTAAAACATGTTAATAGATATCTGCTTATCTAATTATCCAATGTTCTCTCTCTCTCTCCCCCCTCCCTCTCTCTCTCTCTCTCTCTCTCCTTCTTCTTCTTCTTCTCTCCTTTCCTCCTTCCCTCTTTTTTTTACCTATTTTTTCTCTTTTTATTATTCATATGTGCATACACGCTTGGGTCATTCTCACCACCTGCCCCCTCCCTTACACGCCACTCCGCCCCTCCCTCTCCCCCCACCCTCAATACCAGCAGAAAACTATTTTGCCCTTTTCTAATTTTGTTGTAGAGAGTATAAGCAATAATAGGAAGGAACAAGGGTTTTTGCTGGTTAGATAAGGATAGCTATACAGGGCATTGACTCACATTGATTTCCTGTGCGTGTGTGTTACCTTCTAGGTTAATTCTTTTTGATCTAACCTTTCTCTAGTTCCTGGTCCCTTCTCCTATTGGCCTCAGTTGCTTTTAAAGGTATCTGCTTTTAGTTTTCTGCGTTAGGGCAACAAATGCTAGCTACTTTTTAGGTGTCTTACCTATCCTCACCCTCCCTTGTGTGCTCTCCCGCTTTTATCATGTGCTCAAGTCCAATCCCATTGTTGTGTTTGCCCTTGATCCAATGTCCACATATGAGGGAGAATACGATTTTTGGTCTTTTGGGCCAGGCTAACCTCACTCAGAATGATGTTCTCCATTCCATCCATTTACCAGAGAATGATAAATTTCGTTTTGCCATAATAATTCCATTGTGTATAGATACCACATTTTCTTAATCCATTCGTCAGTGGGACATCTTGGCTGTTTCCATAACTTGGCTATTGTGAATAGTGCTGCAATAACATGGGTGTGCAGGTGCCTCTGGAGTAACCTGTGTCACAGTCTTTTGGTATATCCCAAGAGTGGATTGCTGGATCAAATGGTAGATCAATTGTTAGCTTTTTAAGTAGCCTCCAAATTTTTTTTCCAGAGTGGTTGTACTAGTTTACATTCCCACCAGCAGTGTAAGAGGGTTCCTTTTCCCCCGCATCCTCCAACACCTGTTGGTGGTGGTGTTGCTGATGATGGCTATTCTAACAGGGGAGGTGGAATCTTAGTGGTTTTAATTTGCATTTCCTTTATTGCTAGAGATGGTGAGCATTTTTCATGTGTTTTTGGCCATTTGAATTTCTTCTTTTGAGAAAGTTCTGTTTAGTTCACTTGCTCATTTCTTTATTGGTTCATTAGTTTTGGGAATTTAGTTTTTTAAGTTCCTATATATTCTGGTTATCAGTCCTTTGTCTGATGTTAGTTGGCAAATATTTTCTCCCACTCTGTGGGTGTTCTTTCAGTTTAGAGACCATTTCTTTTGATGAACAGAAGCTTTTAGTTTATGAGTCCCATTTATCTATGCTCTCTCTTAGTTGCTGTGCTGCTGGGGTTTCGTTGAGAAAGTCTCTTACTATACCTACTAACTCCAGAGTATTTCCTACTCTTTCCTGTACAACTTTAAGTTTGGGGTCTGATATTAAGATCCTTGATCCATTTTGAGTTAATCTTGGTATAGGGTGATATACATGGATCTAGTTTCAGTTTTTTGCAGACTGCTAACCAGTTTTCCCAGCAGTTTTTGTGAAGAGGCTGCTTTTCTCCATCGTATATTTTTAGCTCCTTTGTCAAAGACAAGTTGGTTATAGTGTGGCTTCATATCTGGGTCCTCTATTCTGTTTCACACTGGTCTTCATGTCTGTTTTTGTGCCAGTACCATGCTGTTTTTATTGTTATTGCTTTGTAATCAGTTTGAAGTCGGTATTGTGATACCTCCAGCATTGTTCTTTTGACTGAGTATTGCTTGGCTATTTGTGGCCTTTGTGTTCCATATAAATTTCACAGTAGATTTTTCAATCTCTTTATGAATGTCATTGGAATTTTGATGGAATTGCATTAAACATGTAGATTACTTTTGGGATATGACATTTTTACTATGTTGATTCTACCAATCCATAGCATGGGAGATCTCTCCACTTTCTATAGTCTTCCTCAATCTCTTTCTTCAGAAGTGTGTAGTTCTTCCCTTGTAGCAGGTCTTTCACCTCTTTTGGGTTAGGTTTAACACTAGGTATTGCTTTTTTTGACGGCATCGTAATGATGGAATTGGTTTTCATAATTTCCCTTTTTCGTTTGCTCATTGTTAGTGTCCTCTTCCCTCTTCTTTTAAATTTACCTGCAAACTCCTCTGTAAGAGATTTTACGATTTTATTTGATGGTTTCCAAACAACCCCTATTTGCCTTCAAATGTTTTTTTCCCTATTGTTTCTATTTTCTGTGTTACTGATTTGGGTCTTAATCATTATTATGTCTTCTCCTTCTGCTTGGCTTTGAGTTTAATCTGAAACCTTTAAATTCTTTTTTGATATACGACATAAAGTGCACAAATTCTCCCCTTGGAGATTTTTTTCAGGCACTGGGTACTGAAACAGGGGCCCTCACTGCTTACTGTGTTTTGAGAGAGGTCTTTGCAGAACTTGCCCTGGGGCTAGCCCTGGAATCCACGCATCCTCCTGCCTCTGCCTGTGGAATTACAGGCATGCACCACCACTCCCAGTTCTTGAGAAATTTTTTTATAACCCAGAATATCTTGGTAAGTATTTTCTGTGCTCCTAAAAAGAGTGCACATTCTGCTGTCTCATGGTGGACTATTCCCTAACTGTCAATTAGGTAAAATGGGTTGATTACGTTATTCAAATCTTCCATATACTTACTAATTTTGTCTATTTGCTATCAATTACAGATAGAGGGTGCTGACACTTTCACTACAGTTGTGGATTTGTCTGTCAGTTTCTTCCATTCTCCAGTACTTCATCTCTGTACAGATCCCTCCTCACTGGTGCCCTATAAATTCTGCCACTTGGCCTCCCCCAGATCAATCTCTGCCCCCTCATTTTGGTGAGACATCCAGCAGGTTCTGTTTAGGTTTTCTCTCCCTGAGTTACTACTGAAAACTGCCTTCAGGCAGGCAGCAATCTGCTTTCACTTCTCTCTACAATTTCAGTCCTGAACTACCTGTTGTCCAATATCTCAAAAATATCGTTTTATACATTCTATTCAGCTTTTTACCTTTCTCATGTAGTAGCTAAACCCAGATGCTATTACCCCATCTAGTCTGGCAGCAGAAATTCCCATATTAAATCTTAAGTTTAAGAATAAAGTCTCTCCAAAAATTTTAATATCTATTCATGCCAAAAAAAACCAAAAAACAAAAAAACAAAGATGACTGAAGGATGTGATAATGAAGAGCTGGCAAGAATTCATCTAGAACAAATATGTTAGAGTCTTTTATAACTACTAAGAAAGTGATATCTTGGTTCATTTTAGGGCATATGCTCAGGCAAATAAATTTCTTCAGAAGTAATTATTAAGGGAGATAAGGCTGAATGCCTGCAAGCCCTCAACATTTTAGTCAGCAAACCATTTCAGGACCCTCTTGAAGAATGAGTCCATCTTGATGGTGTCAATTTTTGTTGACATTTCCAGTAAATCTAGGAAAGAACCATCATCTCAACCTGTAGAACCAGGGCTGGCTACTAGGAAGAAAATGCCAGAAACATCAGTGGACCACCCTTTTAAGAATTGTAGCAACGTCTCCTTTCGATGGCACAGAGGAAGGTGGTGATTTAACTGGCGGCCTTAGGGGGTGCACATGGTTGGCACAGTGCTGCAGAGGGCCTCACCCTCTGAGGAGCTTGGAGTCTTGTGACAGGATTGTGCAGTGTTCAGAAGGCAGCTCTCTGGAAAAGCTTGGCTGTGGATTCTAAGAATTCACATTTGGATTTGTGGATTCGCAAAAATTGTGCAATCTGGTTTTGTTATCTCAAATCTTCAGGAACGTCTAATCACATGCTGTAGAATTATTTGTCTTTCTGATTAAAAATGGCCAGTTGAAAATTCATTTATCTACATTCCTTCATAAAGGCCCTTCCAGGCACAACTTTCCCAGTGTCAATATGATTCTCTCACCCTCAAATATGCCAGGAAATCCCCCACATCTAGGAAACTCTGTTTTGCTTTCTCCAAACCAAAGCTCTTCAGCCCTTTGCCAGTGTGGGGTGGGCACAGTTGTCTAGCAACAGGCTTTGGAAAGAGGACTAGGAGGAGTTTTCCTTAAACAGACTTATGTCTGGGCCTCTGATTTCTGGCTCCATCTTCACCTGTTTCCAAATCCTGAGTCCTTGGAAGGTTCAGTGATGTGTACTGAGTTAGTTCTCAGCTCACCCCACTGCCAGGTTAGGATTGATCTTTGCCCTGTGTTCTAACTCAACATCCACCTTCTGCTTTCAGAATATTGTTACTGCCTTCTTCTCTCCTATTCTATTGTCCTTTTCATGTTATACATTATAACAACTCAAAAAAATCTTTGCTGTTTTAGAGATTTTAGGAAGCAGGCTTTTCCTCTCCAGCTTAGAACTGTGACCTGGACTCTGGATAAAAGCACCAAGTTCATGGGCTTTTCTTTGAAGAGGAGGAGAGCTGCGTCTGTCACACAGGGAAGGGTGGGGCTAAGGTGAAGCACTGGCCCTGGAGAGGAATGCTACATAAGTAGGGTCCCACCAGCTGGGTTCATTCTCTACTCATTCTGACATTTGCAACAGTAAAGTTGTGGGACCAACATGACATGCTTTGTGTCATGAAGAATCTCCATTCTCTAAGCTGCTACCTTTCTTCCTAAAGCATTAAAAAGGACATGATGTAAGAGGTATGCCAGACTCTACTTAGGCCACTCCAAATACAGAAATCAGGAGTCCCTCTACCAGTTTCCAGCTTAGCTAATGTGCAAAATATTAGTATCCATCCCATATATGCCCTTTTAAAAATGGTATTAAGTGCGCTGGAGGTGTGGCTATAGTGGTAGAGCACCTGCCTAGCAAGTGCAGGCCCTGAGTTCAAACCTAAGTTCCACCAGAAAAACAAAAGGGTATTAACAATTATGTTACTTATAATTGGTTTACTATTCCCCCTTAGGAGAGCTATGGAAGTTTGTATTTTTCTCATTTAAAAAAAATCATTTCCGCTGGTGGAGTGACTCAAGTAGTAAAAGCGCCTGCCTAGAAAGTGTGAGGCCCTGAGTTCAAACCCTAGTACTGAAAAAAAAAAGTCATTTCAGGCCAGGTGTGGTGGCTCATGCCTGTAATTTTAGATGCTTGGGAAGATCCTGGTAGTTCAGGTCAGCATGGGCAAAAAGTTTTTATGACCCCATGTCAACCAATGCCTGGGTGTAGTGGTGCATGCCTGTCATCCCAGTTACATGGAAAGCATAAACAGGAGAATCCCAGTCCAGGCCAACCTGGGCATAAAAGTGAAACACTATCTGAAAAATAACTAAGGCAAAATTGGCCAGGGATGTGACTCAAGTGGCAGAACACCTGCCTAGAAAGTGTAAGACCCTAAGATCAAACCCAAACACACACACACACACATTTATGACTAGCTCTGGGTTTTCTCCCAGGTCATTCCACTGAAGGTGTAACTCTCTGTACTTACCATAATCAGTAACATAAAACTCATACATGGTCTGATTTGTGCCTTCAGGTATTTCAGGCAAGTCTAGGTGGCTTCCATGATTTCGTAAAAAGACTTCAAGCTTTTCTCTGCTTTCCAGCTCCAGAAGGGCTCCGAGACTCCACATTAGGCCAAACACAAATAATTTATGAAGATGCTCCACACATGAAACTCCACCTTCTTCTTTGGAGGGAATTAAACCTTCCAGAAGATTGAGAGACTGAAAACAAAAATTTTAATCAGATAAATTTTTAAATAAAAAATTTGCAGATAAAAACATTTGGTTTAAAAAGGAGGAGGGAAAACAAATGTATCTCAAGATACTGCTTCATCCCTGTCCCCAATGTGAAAAGCAAGAGCCCCAGTCTAGATGTTCTGTAAGGTCACTTCTGGCAATGAAGTTTGACTATTCAAGTTTCCGGGCTAAAGATTTTCTTTCTTTTGAACATTTTGCAGGACTCAGCAAATTCTGGCCCTCAGGCCAGCCACTTGCTTTTGTTTAGTAAATAAAAGTTTGATTGGGACAGTCATACTTGGTCATTCGTGCTCTGTCTCCTGCTGCTTTTGTGCTATAACAGCAGCACTGAGTGGTTGGGACACAGTTGTGAAAAGCTTAAAATATTTACTACCTGATGCCTTAAGAAAACACAATCATTTCAAGATAAAATTTCTCTTACATATCTAAAAGTAATTTGTAAATAATTCATTGATGGGGACCTTAGGTATTATTTCTAACCTACCCAGCCTTACTGGAAGACAACCTTGACACTGAGAATCAAAGCACCAGAATGGATAATCACCAGAATTGGGAGAGCCCTTAATATAACTAGGCCTGGGGGTGTAAGCACTTGAGTTCAAAACCCCAGTATCACTCCCCCCCAAAAAAAGCCTATGACTAGGGTTGGCTTTCTCCAAAGGCTAATAAGGAAAATAGGGTATAAAAAAAGAATAAAGCACTCCTCAGAGAATTTCTGCTTAAAGTTTTCCCCTATCTGATCTACACTACATTTGCAAAGACAAGATTGACACCCAAGTTTTCCTGATTGCCACAAGATCCTTTTTGCACTTTTCTACAAAACTGCCAGTCTCAGTTATTGTGTTGACTCTCATTATTTGGACAACACACTTTTCAGGGCAGGTTAATAAACCTGGTGGGAAAGACAGCTTGCTCCTTTTCTCCGATAACTTCCCTCTGGAAAGTAGAAGGTGACAAAAATAGGACAGTGAGTTACCCAGAAGACCTTTAAACCTCTCACAGCCCTCACCACCACATCATGAAAAGATTTCTATGAACTATATGAATTTTCTACTTCAAGGTCCTGAAAACTGCCACTGAGCAAAAATAAAATCTCAAAATCTAAGTAATGAAGTTACAAAAAAAAAAAATCTTACTTGCATAATATAGTTGCATTCTAAGAGCTGCATTTTGGGATTGAGGTTTAGTTTCATAAATGTATATGTATCTTCAAACGCTTTGTCATACAGAGCCAAGAATACAGTGCCTTCCTGTGCAGTGCGCTTCTTCAACCAGGCCTGTGGTGGAGGAACAGGATCTCTGCTTATTAAGAAAGAGTGAAATGGCAACAACTGGACAGACTTCTGCCCATCTCTTGTCCCCACCTGCAGTATTGGCCTCCAGCTGAGAGCAGAGCTGCTGATGTACACCATACCCATCCTAGAGACTGTAGCAGGCGAGGCATTCTCAATATTGTGGACCTCAAATAAAAGCTTACAACTAGGAGCCATGGGAATCCGATCTCCGTTAGCCAGCGTGAGGGTCTTGTTATCATCCAACACAGAGTTTAAGTTCTCGATCCAAATGGCGTCCACAGGGCCATCTAAGATGAGGAAAATGTTTTCGCCTGCAAACAGTTGAAACGAAAATTAAACAAAGATTGTGTTATTAATAAACTAGCAGCAGGGGGAAAAAGCCATCACAAAGGAAGGCTAGTGTGTACCTTTTTTAGCTTTTAATGTTTTTCTCCACAGAGTAGAAAAAATCCCATCTGTCCAGTCATTGGTAGCAGTGTCCAGTCTGCCAAACATCTGAGGGGCAGTGATAGCTTTTGGGTTCATCCGCATTTCTCTATGAGGCCGTCCACACTCGGTCAATGCCTTCATCAGAATGGTGATAACCATTGTCTTCCCAGAACCACTGGGCCCAAGGGTCATTAAGCCATGCCGTACCAGAGATGTCTCATATAACTACACAATTAAACAACAAATTGAAAAATGTAGCTTATGAATCTCTGGCTGACATTCAGAGCAGTGAGCTGAAATTTAAAAAGGCTTTAAATAAGCTCTTCATTAAAGTAACTTGTTCAGTATCTAAAGGATGTAAAAATGTTCTTTGTTTTACTAGACGTGGAGAGCAAATTAGCACAACATTAACAACGACATAAGTGAGAAAGTGATGACAATGTGGGACTTGAATTACATTTTGGAAATCATTAATTCAGCATGCAGTTTCTGCTTTTCCAACTGCCCTTCCTTCTGATTTGAGTTTGCTCATCTGTAACTAGCAGTTTTCCCACACAAGACTTCTCTGTATCCAGTGTGATGACATCGCCCCTTAGTGGTTGAAGGCAGCAATGTCTAACATCCCAGTAAAGATCCGGGGTTCCTGGGGACCTTTTGGTTTCCAGAAGCCCGTCGTGAATGAAGATTCCTGTGCAAGTGATTTATTCAGGGAGGGCTCCCACTCCCAGGAGAGATGGAGAAGGGCATGGAGGAGCAGGACAGGGATGGGAAGAAGTGAAGTCAGGTGGGACTGAAGGGACTCTCCAGTCCAGGGTGAGTTACATCGGAGGGGTTGGTCTACCCGGAAACAGGGGACTTTAACTTTCCTACTCCATCACCCATCCGTCCTTATTTAAGGTGAGGATGGCTTAGGGGTGGGGAAAATAAACTCTCGGGCACTGCCTGTCCTTTATGCCCACCCACAAAGTGGCTCTAGTTCTCATTTTGTTACTAGAAGCTGGGGAGGGGGCACACAGAAATGGGGCAGGGGATTGGAGGAGGCAGTAAGAGTACAGATGATGTCTGTTACAACATCCTGCCTACAGCTCTCTTACTAAAAATAAGAAGTTCCAGGTGATACAACTGATCAGAAGTAGGGGCTGAACTGTTCTCCTAACTGAACTGTTTTCGATAGAAATGTGTCACCATTGTAACTCAGGGTTTAAAAGCAACAGAACTGGAGGTTACATTGTCATTAGTAATGTTAGTGACATTCACCAAGATTAATCTATTAGAGTCACTCATTAAATGCTGGGATGACTAGAATTTTAATATCCACAATACTGTATGTATATCATGCATAAAATGTTTTGCCAAAATTTTTAATTTTTAATGGCTTCCAATACCTGAATGATAAGAACTATCTAAACTTTTCTCCATATATTTCCTTGTAAGACTTGGAAATGTCTCATAAGAATCACTATTTTTTGCCAGTTTTTTTTTGGCAGTACTAGGGTTTGAAATCAGGGTCCTGCACTTGCTAAGCAGGCGTTCTACCACTTGCGCCACACCCTCAGTCCTTTAGTTTAAGTTTGTTTTTTAGATAAGGTCTTGTACTTTTGCCTCAGACTATGATCCTACTCCTGCCTCCTGATTAGCTGGAATTATAGAAATGTGCCACCACGCATGGTTCTAGTGCAACTTTTAATACTCTCCACAACTGCAGCTCCTTCATTTTCCAATAGCCCTGGAATACCTCACCCCTCCCCCAACACACACACACACACACACACACACACACACACACACACCAAGAGCATCGAGCTCACACAGATCTACTCCTGTGTCTTTGCTACAGGTTTTTGACTTTCTGGCAAAGTGACCAGGCTGTTGTCGCAGGCTGAATTATGAGGAACAAAAAAAAAAAAAGCCCAGAAAAGGATTCAAGGATATGACATGTGCACACACAAAGGAGGAGCAAGGCAGGTGCCAGACTGCTCAGACGCTGGGCCCCACTGAGGCCCTCACTGTGCCAATACTGCCTGATTGGTGAAAAAGCTAGCTGGGTTCTTACATCTCACATCCCAGCTATTCGTGAGGTTCAGGTTAGCACCCAACTTTCTCACCTGATGTCAGTAACAACCACACTAAATGACTGCGTGTCTACTGCAAGGCAGGGTAAATCCATACTTTTTCTCTAGGACAGACACATCCCTGAAGACTCTTTTGGCATTGATGTGTACGTGGCATTTTCACTGAGTTTTAACACTTACATCAAGGTAAACTAATATGTTGCAGTCACATGGTGACCTCTAGCCACACACACACTTACTGTTACAGTGACAGTAGACTACATTTCTCTTACCTGCACAAGTTTGAGGTTCCAGGGTGGGTGGTTAATCAAACCTTCCAGCTCAACCTGGTTGGCTACTGCAGCCTGCAGTTCCACATAGGTACTGCTATCCAGCTGTAACCCTGGAAACAGGTCGTTGATTAAGCTGAGGAACAGGGGTTCATCTTCATCAACCTAAGGGGGCATAGATTAAATTAGCTCCAAGCTCCAGTGGCACAATCAGTTAGCACGCAGTATTTACAGATTAAAATAAGCTTACTCAGTCAACAAACATTTCTCAGGTAGCTAGGATGTGCACTGCACTCGCCCTTTCATGCCCAGAGAATCATTTATTACTCTCCCACTCACACTAGAATTCTCTAGTACTTTCTCTCAACACTTCCACTAAATCCACATTGCCAAATTTCCTTGGCATTCTATAATTCAGCCTCCATCTACCGCTCCAAGCTCGAGCTCATTGTTTCACCGCATCAATATTTGCTTCTCACAGACTAACCTTTAAAATATGCAATTCATAGTTCCAACCCCATGAGAATAGAATGTTACCATTCAACTTAAGTTAGGACGTATTGATAACCCTGCATGGCTTCATTCAACACTGGAGGGAAAACTCTGACAGACAGTGTTCTGCCTTTCTTATAAGAAGTAGGTTTGAATACACTGACTCCAATTCCTCATTTTCTATGTCTTTAATACATAGATCACCCAGTCCCAACTTCAGACCCCTTCTAATTTGTCTTATTCTCTGGTGCTTCCCTGATGCGTTCCTGAATGTTTGTGGAAAAGTTTTTAAAACACGACTATTACAGAGAGGCAGTGAGGCATTCCGCCATCTTGGTTGACTGTGATTATGGGTGAGTCCCTCTAGCCTCCTGAGTTCCCCCTGTATTTAGAATGATGATAAGCAAGACTGTCACTTCTATCACACAGAGTCACTGTGAGGCTCAAACAGTACAGTACATCTGAACGGGCTTTGCAGTAGTAATGAACTAGACAGATGCCAGAAGCTAGTTTTTGGAACTAGAATGTGCACTTCCTAAGAATCACTTCTTCCCCAACCTGCACACCCAGGGCACATGGGAATGCCACACAGTGTGTGGCACGTAGGAGTCCTTGAACAAATACCATGTGAACCTCTCCATCAGCTGATTCAAAACCACATGGCCATCAGTGTGACAAGCAGGAAAGCAAGTGAAATAACTCCTGTGATTCCCACAAAAAAAAAATTTAATGTATTTTTTGGAAAGTAAGAAAATGGTGTTGATGTTTTGGGAGAGACCTATCTGTGAATCCAGATTTTCATGGCCAAAACTTGGATTATACTTTGAATAATGGTAGAGAACTAGGTTGAAAAACTAAAGCAAAAGCTCACTGGTTTCCCATTTTATTGCACAAAACCCCTCAGAGGAAGCATTTCCAGCCTATGTTGACCATGTAGCACAAAAGAGAGCAGGCTGCCTTCTCCTGGAAGCGCATCTCTCTTCCCTGTAATTATTAGTGCTCACAGCTCAACATAAGCCAACCCCTAATTGACAGATGATCAGAAAAAAAATAGGTCAAAATCTTGGAAGAGGAGAAATATACCAATTTGGAAAGGTTCATATCTCTTAGTCCTCTCATGACAGTGCTTAATTCACTATCTTCTGGCCTGGCTCTTTTTTGAGATCCAAGTGTCCTCAGTACAGACAGAATATTTCTCAATCCAAAGTCGTAATGGACCTAAGATGATAAAAGAGGAGGAAAGATTATTTAATTGCAAAATTCAAAATGCAGATTGGCTGTATACATGCAGGCAGTTATTCTGTGGGAGAGACAGAATGGAGTCACAAAGTATTAGATGTTGGATTCTCTTCTTTTGAATGAAATGATTGTTCCATTGGAAAAACCAAGCTGTATGATATAAGGTGGTCACACATTAAATCTTCTGAAAGTAATGCAGTCTGATATGATCTGAGTGACAAAGGATAGATCTGAAATGCAGACAACAAGATATGTATTACATGACCCCACTTACATCACGTTCTGGAATTAACACTACAGATGAAGAACAGATTTGTGGCTGCAAGGAGTTAGGAATTTGGGAAAGAGGAGAGTGTGACTACAAAGGGGTGACACAAGGGAGTCTTGTGTTGGTGCAACCATTCTGTGTGTTGATTGTGGTGGTGGCTATACAAGTCTTTACGTGTGACATAATTCCATACACATGCACACACAGACACACACACACACACACACAGGTGCATGTACAGCTGGTGAAACCAAAATACACTGTGGATTGTACAGTATCAATTTTCTCGCTTTGTTATGGTACTATACTTACAATGTCCACATCAGAGGAGCCCAGGCAAAGGGTACACATCTCCTTATGTATTTGTTTGCAATTTCCTGTGGCTACAATTATTTCTAAAGAAGTTTTAAAATTACACAACCAATAGGTCAAATTAATTATGAATACATTTTAGCAAAGAGTCAATGAGATTTTTTAAGCTAACTGATTATTATTTATGAAGATAAAATTGCAAAATGCATGCAGGGTATGATGCATACTTATAATTCCAGCACTAGAGAGGCTGAAACAGGAGAATTGAAAGATCAAGTCCAGTCTGGCACATAGAGCAAGTCCTGGCCAGTCTGTAGCTGCATAGTGAGATACTGTCTATAAATACATACCTAACTACATACATAACAAATGAAATTCTAGGAAAAAACATATATAGTTACCTGCTTAGTAAGTTGCTCTTCACAGAGTTTGTAAAGAACATAAAATTTTTGAGCCAAGATAACATTTTCTAGAAAACCACAGCTTGCAAGTTTAACTCGCATAATGATCTGAAAATAAACACAGTGAGATTTTTTGGCAACTTTAGAAAAAAAAAAAAGGTAAGAAACATAAATTATGCTTTTAAATCCTGGCACATACCTGTCTATCAGGAACCATCATAGCAACGGTTCTAAACTGGATTTTTAAGTTTTCTGGCAGTTCCTGGCGCCCAGCATATCCAGGGTTCTAAGAGTTAAAATATATTTCATTTTTCAATGGCTGATGTAATTTTCATTTCTTGAACACAAATACATTCAGACACCCTAGTTCAAATTCTAAGATGGTATTGAAAACTATTAGATTTATAAAATGTCCTTGCTTTCTCAAAAATGTATATGGGACCATTCACATTCAATAATGTTCACACAAACCCTTTACATACATATCCATTCTCATTATATTATTAGAGTCACACATACACACACAACCTGTGTAGCAAAATGTAGCCTCAGCACGTCTACTGGTTTAAAAAAATGGAAATAAAATAAAGAATAGAAAACTGAATAAATAACTGAGTAATTCTGGTCTAAAATATGTTACAGAATGAGGAGAAAAATCAGGATTTTACACTGAGCTTACTTAGGCAATGTTTATTTCATCATTTCAATTATTCTTTGTGATCATAGTTATTAAATTCTTTGGCTGACAAAGTACCATTAAAATAGTTCCATGGGAGTGAGAGGGAATAGGGAAGGAATTGAAGAAGAAATACAGCAAAAGTAGAGGTGGACAGGAGACTGAGTTTCTTCATCAGTAACAATAGATTGAAGATAGGTGAGACCCAAAAGTCCCCAAGGAAAGGCTAGGAGTTCAAAGACAATAAGGCAAATCAGGGTTGGTTATTTTGGGACAGTTCACGAGGAAGCCTTTAGCTCCTGAACATTTACTGGGTGCTCTCAATGGACCAGATACCTTGCTAGCTACTGGGAATACAGAGATTGCTGGTTGCTTCTCAGTATTCCTCTCCTCCTTCCTTAAGTCATAGAACCCCAGCTGCAAGCTGGGTACATCAACCACAAAGGATAAAAACTACACTTCCCAGCCTGCCTTGCAGCTGGTATGATTGTGTTCCATACAGTGAGATAACACACTGAGAAATACCCTTGATGTGTGTCTCAAGGGAGTCAATTCAATCAATTATCTAACAAAATGAAGACGCTTTCTGTAGCATTTGGGGTCATAAAGTGACCTTGAATGTGGAAACTGTGATTGAGTAGCAACATAGAAAGAGCTTAAGAGAATAAATCCTTACATGATAAGCTACTAGATTTTTTTGTCTCAGCTACTCATAGCTTCATACAATATATAATTGATATTTCTAATATTAGTCTTAATCCAGGAAGAATGTTTAGCTTCTTATAAATTCTTTCACACTGAGTTAATTTCTTCATCCCATTTCCTGAGTTATGACCAATAACTTCTGGATTACTACTTCTCCCTAATTACTGCATGTTTACTTACAATAAAGTTTATCAGAAATTTTGCTTCCAATAATTTATCTTTGTCCCCTGGGGATATTTAAAACAGAGAACTTTGTGTTATCTTGCAACTTAAAGAGCTAACTTTAAAGATAACATATAAAAACATATAAAATTGTTCAACATTAACTTCATTTCCCAAATTTATAGAAACTCCTCTTTATTCATGCCTTTGGTTTTCGATCTTTAAAATGATGTATGTCAAAATTCACACTCAATGGCACAGTAATTGAATTTGTTACAGTTCTTTGGGTTGGGGCCTTATTAAATTATTTTGAAATTTTTAAGCCATTTCCTTCTATTAAGGATCAGGGGAAAACTAAGTGTAAAGATTGAGCAATCAAGTTTTGGTGTTAGAGACACAATAGCTAATTCCTCTTACTGACACATAGGACTTAAGTTGAGTTTTCAGTCTCCCTGAGCCTCAGATACCTCAGCTACAAAACATCACTACAGAGGGCTATAACAGTTAGTGTTATTGACCAAATAATTCAGTTTCTCTCTCCTTCCAGTTACATGACAATACATTACTTCCTTGCCCCCTTGAAGTTGAGTACATCCATGTGTATTGCTTTAGCCAATGAGTCTTGTGAACTGTGTCACTTCTGGATGGAAACCGGAGCCAGAACACAACTCTTCATGTTCTCTCTTTCTTTTGCAACAGCAACCAGCAACTATTGAGGCAGTGGCTACCTTATCAGCCTAGTACCAGAGGAAGGATATGCAAAGCAGACCCTGGCCTCTACCCTACCCCTGCCAACCCACCATGGACATACGGCATGAGGAAGAAATGAATCTTTGTGGTTTTCAGCAACTCAGATTTTGGGATAGTTTGTTACTGCAAGGTTGTACCAGTTGTGCTGATTCAACACATAAAACATTTAGATCAGAGACTTACCCATAATTAAAGCTCAATAAATGGTAACTGTTACTAACATATTACTATTTCATTGTCTACCTGGGCTATTTTTACTCCTCAAAAATCATACACTAAGAGAGTCTATGACTCCTGGATAGTCAGTTATTTGCCCACTAATATGTGGGTTCTTTGATCTAAGTCTGCAACAATTAAAGTAATCAAATTGTATTTAAAGTCTATGTTCTCACCATTGTCAAGAAGATTCCAAATTCTGGATTTAGATCAACACAATCACCATCAGAAAAAATGAACTGTTTTTTCCTTTCTTTTCTTGCTGTCAAAACAATATAAATTTGTTGGGCCGCCACTGATAATACAGGCAATTCGATTCTGTTAAACTCATCAAAACAGCCCCAGGAACCCGACTGTGCAAGACCTGGCATGAAAGCAGTTAATTTACAAAGTTTTACTCTATAATATACCTTCTTGCTAGCAATCATTTCTCCAAAGTGCTCCCAAACAATTATGTATTTAAACACCATTATGCAAAGTTTCTTATCTGGCTGTTTTAGACATATTTAATTCCAGTGATGAAGAGACATTTAATTATTTGCATATAATCACCAAAACAATAAAATAATACACTGTCAAAGTTAAAAGTATAAATACATCATTATACCCAGGGATACTGAATGGTGATAAAAATCTGATCCAGTCTGGAAGTACCACCTTCAGTGGGGATGAGGTTGGAAGGAGTCATGGTGTCTGGGGAAAACAACAAAATAAGGAATGCCCCATCGGGATCAGATCTCTCTGTTCTTTTTATTGCAATGTGATAGAAATGTCAGGATGCAGGGTGAGAAAAAAGAATGGCCAAAGGGATTTTTATTTATTTCTTACAAAAACCAGAGCAAAGAAAGATCTGGGATCTCATGAACATTGCTCCTGTCTATTCTCCCAGGATGAAAAACCTTAATTTCCCCCAGCTACATGAAACGCTCTCGCTTCTTTTATTATTACCTACCTCAGTCTTTCTTCTCTCTCCCTTGGGAATTTCCATTACATGAATGTTGGACTGGAGATTATATATATATATAATATATTATAAAATGACCCTTAAGTTTTTGGGTCAAACTTTCCATCTCTTTGTCTTTTTGCAATATATTATTTTGGCTTGATATTCTAACCCAAGAGGGTTTTGTTTTATTCCAATTGTTCTTTTCTCCTAACAACCTGTTTTTTCTTTAATTGGTTGAATATGATAAATTCTTGACTCTCTCAGAAGCTATTATTTTTACTTACTTTTGAGTTTTCCTCTGTTTCATCTTTTTAATTCAATTTATCAGTCAGTAGGCCTTCCTAAGTTTTCCCAACATTTTATTAAGACTCCATTATCTTTGTATAATAGTTCCAAATGGTCCCAAATGCTAATTCCTGTTTATGGGATGTATACCTGCCCCTGGTGCTTTGGAGGAAGAGATGGAAGAAGCAGGAGAACTTCCTCTCTGGAGTTGGGGCTTGCCATCTGGTCCAGCTCCTTGGCCCTGCTTCCCCAGTATGAGCCCCCTTGTGGGGTTGATCTTTGACAAAACTCCCACTCCACAGAGCTGTGTTAACTGCTTTCCTATGGAGGAAAAGTACTGCAGACAGCTACTCTATTTCTCTGCCTTCTACATTATAATTTTGGCATCCTAGAGTTACCTTGTGCTCTATTCTGCCTCTCCCCAACCATTTCCAATTCTCAGGTCAGGAACAATCCACCCAAGAACCTTCTCTTTGATTGGAAGATGATTCTTGGGGTTTGAACCATTTCAACATACCAACAAATTATAAGGAAGAATATAATAAATACAATGAATTGTACCCATGTAACAAACCTCATCTGCTTCAGATTTTATTCTAAAAAATATAATATTACAAAGATGGGGCTGGCGGAGTGGCTCAAGTGATAGAGCACTTGCCTAGAAAGCACAAAGCCCTGAGTTCAAACCCTAGTACAGCAAAAAAAAAAAAAAAAAAAAAGGACAGTTCAAGTTCATGAATGTCCCCTTGGATCCTTGGATCTCTACTTCCTCCTTCTTCAGAGGTAACTTCTACTGTGTAGTGGTTCCTCTGCATGGTTTTAAACTATTGTACTTTTGCATGTATTTTTGGGTATTCTATATTTTGCTTGCCAAAAATTTATTTATCTCTTTATCTGTATAGACTACTGTGCATATCCTCTGGTAATTTGATTTGCGCACTATTATTTTCTGAGCTTTAACCATGCTGAAACATGCAGATTTAATTCACTATTTAAAAATGTTGTACAGTATTCCATTGTATAGATATACCATTTGATCATTCTGCTCTCTTGGGTATTTGGATTATTATTACCACTAATAACTTGTGGTAACAATGTAGCAGTCTTGCTTGTGGCTTCTGGACTCTGTGAAGAGTGGAAATGCTGGGCCACAGAGTACATGCCCAAAGATGCCAGGTTGTGCTCTTGAAGCAGGTCTACCAATCTGCACATACAGAAGCACTGACGGGCAACATCTCTACACAGTCTCACCAACAGTGGTTTCATCAGACTTTTCCATTTTTGCCAATCTGGTAGAAGTAACATAGTATCTCATTATTGTTTCATTTTGTGCCTCTTAATGATTTATAGAGAATTTTTTTTCATACTGGATATTAATTTTCTGGCAGCTATATTTCTCCTGGTCTGTAACTTCTGTTTTCTTCTCTCTTTTTTTTTTTTTTTGCAGTACTGGGGTTTGAACTCAGGGCCTGCACCTTGAGCCACATAGGCAGCCCTATTTTTGTGGAGGGTTTTTCGAGATAGGGCTCATGAGTTATTTGCCCAGGCTGGCTCTGAACCTTGATCCTCCTGATCTCTGCCTCCTGAGTAGCTAGGATTATAGGCATTAGCCACTGTCCCCCAGCTTCTTGTCCTTTTTAAATAGAGAAACATCACATAAAGACTGGATTGCAGTTCCATGGTATCCAGTACAGGGACTCTTCACATCCCATTTGGAGGAAGGACTGAATGAATGACTCATGACATTTCAAACAGTACGAGAAGCTCCAGGAGATCTCTCCCCAACTCCATCCCCCTTCTTCTCCCTACCCCACCCAGAGGGAAGAACTACAACTCTGAGCAATCATCATTTTTCTTTCTTTCCTTTTAACTATATAGCTATATAATCTAAAAAAATTATTTCTACTTTTACCTATTTGGAATTTTAAATAATTTTAACCACACTGTATGTATTTTTGTGAAACTTACTTCTTTCACTCCCAAATTATATCTGTGAAATAGCACATATTGTCACTCATTTGTTGGAGCTTTAAAAAGCTGATCCCACAGAGAGGAAAGGTTATTAGAGGCTAGGAAGAGGAAGGAGGGGGGGACAATGACAGGGTGGATGAAGGCACCAAAACACAGTTAGAGTTGGAAAACTAGTACTAACATTATTCAGCACAAAGGGTGACAAGGGTCCACAGTTAATTCTATATTTCAATAACCAGAAGAGAAGAAAAATAACCACTTACTAGAAATGGTAATTGAGGAAATGGAAATGCTAATTACCCTGACTTAATCCTCATGCAATATATACATGTGCTGAATTATAACACAGTACCCACACAGTGGGATCAGTACAAACATATGTCAATTTAGAAAATAAAATTAATTCCAAAATAAATAAATAGTATTTGTGGTATTCCTCTGTACCCATGCATCTTATTGTAGTTACACCTTTTTACTGCTATACAGCACTGTTACACAAAATTTCATATATTTCTTCTCTTTGTACACAATATATAAATTACATGTTCAAATCTGTATATCTGGACCACCACAGCAGACACTAAGGGTCATTTCCAGGCATTTGCTGTCACAGCAATGCTGTCAACACCCACAAACAAGTCCTTAGGGCACAAATGCAGTTTATCTGCATATGTGCCAAGAGGGGGATAATTGAGGATACGTATGCATGCTTTTAAAAGTAATGCCAACCGATTTCCAAAAAGAGTTTGTGCTCCTATCATGCATATCCTCATTTTTTCCACTGGGTTGTCTTTACTCATTGGTTCACAGGCAGTATCTGTATATGAAGAACGCTGACCCTTTGTAGATAGCATTTGTTGCTAAAGCCTTTCCCCAATTTCTGCCAAGGTTTTTCACTGTCTTTTTGGTGTCCACTGATGAGCAGAAGTTTTAACTAAGAGTAGGCAGGCATATCAATTTTTTCTTTATGGTTTATGATTTTTGTATTCAAAAACCTTTTTACCCTAAAACAAAGATGTTTTCTTTTTATTACCTTCTTAAAACATGATACAATCTTACCTTCCATACTTATGCATTAATCCTTTTTGTATATAAGGTAGGGATTCAATTTCCCTTTTAAAAAATGAATTATTTATTGTTGCAGAACCACTTATTATAAACTCCATCTCTTTGTCACTAATTTACAATTATGTCATATGTCAGGTGACATTGTCTGTTTCTGCATTCTCTATTATATCCCATGGATATATTTATCTATCTTAGATCCCTCTGATCTAAGACTAGAAAGGAGGAGAAAGGTAGGCAATAGGAGACCAGTTAGGAGGCTTACTGAACTGGTCAAGTGAAAGGTGATAGTGGCTTGAATCAGGATGACATCAGTGGTGATAAGAGGTAGAGAATTTTGGAGTGTATTTTGAAGATAAAACCAAGTATTTGCTTACTGTATGTTTGCTGGATGTATGAGAGAGGACTAAGGGATAAGTCAAAGTTTTGTTTTATTTTTTGTTCAAGCAATTGGAAGAATGGAGTGGCAACTTAATGAGATGGAAAAGGCTGAGGAAAGAGTAGATATGGAGAGGGAGATCAGGAATTTGGTTTGGATATAGTGAAGTTGGACTTCTTAAATATTTAAGTGGCAATGTCAAGTAGGCATTTGTACATGTGGAGCCATAGTTTCAAAGAGAAGTCTGATCTAGAGATATAAATTTGGGAATCATCATATAAACAGTATTTAAAGATTGGGTCTGCATGGATCACAAAAGAGAAGAAAGCCAAAGGCTGAACTCTGAGACTACAAGTGTCCACCTGAAATCACCTCCTAGATTAATCACCTTCCAAGATTTTCTCAAAATTCCCCAACTGCTGATACTTTTCTAGTGTTGCTATGCTTTTTTAAAAAAAAAAAATCTTTCATTTCAGTGGGATTTAATGTGTTTCATTAATCTGCTATCTTGATCTTACTTTTCCTACTACTGTTTCATACCATTATAAATTGTGTTTTCAGAATCTAATACACATGCAACACATGGACTATCAAAAAAATAATAATATTGAACCATGTGAAATTGATGACATCTGGCCACATTTGATCCAAGAAAAAAATGGCAACATTGTTTAGATCAATCCATACTAATGTTGGTCATGTGTTATATTGTCATACTAGGTTTATATAAAAAATAACATTAATTGACAATAAAAAATTCATAAAAAATAATTCAACATTCTTTGACACTTGCCTTTGAAAATCCTTCCTAGCCCTCTGAAATCCATTTGATCTGAGCAGTTGAACACAACCACATATTTTCCCAAACACCTGCCCATGTCTTTTGTGGTTTCTGTTTTGCCAGTGCCGGCAGGTCCTGCTGGAGCACCTCCCATGTTCATTCCCAATGCCTGTGCCAGCGTGATATAACATCTGCAAGTGTTAATCAGATAAAGCCTTGAGAAAAAGGATAACATGAATTACAGAAAAATACACACAAATGTCTAAGTGCTCAGATGGACCTGCTTGTTTTAGTGTTTGAGCAGTCCACATAAAGGAAGTGAGCAGCAAACAAGGCTGGGGTGTTTGATATTCACTAAAAGTAGTACACTGAATTCAGAAATTTCTTGGGACAACTAAACCCCTCCACTCTGACTTAAAACCTTCGAGCCCTCCTCCCATTTGTCAATAAAAGGACTGAATAAACAGTGGTGTGCTGGCAGCTGTTTAACCACTGGTTCTCCAGGGGAAAAAATAAACCTGATTTTCAGGTTTGCCAATTTTTGCGGTATCAACACTCCACCATGGACAAGCTACCCATGTGAAATTACAACTGTGAGAAGAGGTGCACTGAGTTGTCTCTCCCAAGCTGATATAAGCCAGCCCAGCACATTACCAATCAGTTGTTTAACTATGAACTGTTTACTCATTTAGAGAAGTATAAAAAACAACATAACGAGACTCCTCATATCCATGACCCAGTTTGTGTTATATTTGCTCCATATCTAAGTAAAATTTAGTAAGGATCTGAGTAAAGTATCCTGAGGCATGAAGCCCATAATGTAAAGCTAATGGAAGAGAAAACACACTGATAAATTTGTGCTTCAATAGCCCTTGGCACATAAAAGGAAGAGGAGAGATTGCAGAAAACAAGAAGAGGTTGAAGATGTCATTTGATTGGGTCATAATTTTACCTGGAAGCAGACCTAAAGTCATGGCAGTACTAAATGTTCTAAAAATCCAGCCTAAGGCAATCTGTAGCTACATATCGAGAGCCTTCATGCACAGCACAATGGACTGAGTGTTGTAGGGTCTACAAAGATGACAAAGACCCATTTCTTGCCCAGTGTCGTGTATGAGAACTGCGAGGGGCTTGTCAGTGACTGAGTATTTAGACTTGGCCATCAAGTCTAAAATATCAATTTTCCCATCTGAAAAATCAAGAGATTGAATCTGATGATGCATCTTCCTTCTTTGCAGTTCTAAAATATTTCTTTATGGTGCTAGAGATATTTTTCCACCTTAAAATCTAAAATTCGTTATTAAATTGCTCTCAGTCAATGTTCAAGCTTGCTTTTATTCCTTTATCTCTCTCTACTTCATAAAAATTTCATGCGCATGTTTGTTTAAGTGACAGCTATGGTTATTTCACTGTTAGACTGACTTTATGAGCAAGTATAGACCTCACAAGACAGTGAGATGCTTCTGTTAAGATTTCAAATGTAATTTAAGGCAATCTTAAGCACACTATTTAATTACAAAGTGGAATCACAAATACGGGGTTTCCTACCTATCTGTTAATGGAGTGATAACAAGACGATCAGTGCATCCCAGAAATTCATTTTGGTAAATAAAATCAACATCTGTGATAGATACCACAGTTTGATCCAAATCTTCCTTGAAATAAAATCTACTCTGTTTTAGCCATTCAAAATCAGTAACTGATTTGATGTGCATTTTTACCTTAAAAACATAGAATAGAAAAAAGTTACATGTAATAAGCATATGGACGTTTTTATTCATTCATTCATGAACTGATTCTCCTCTATTTAGCAAATGTTTATTGATTCCCTTCTTATGCTTGGCACTATGATGGGAGAACAAAGACAGATGTTGGTGCTGTCTTTTGTTTTAAACAAAAAAAGGCAAAAGACAGTGAAACAAGCAATGTCAGTGAAGTACAAAAAGTACTACCAAAGAAACTCAGGGTTCATGAATTTTCCTTGCCTAGTCTAGAGGGTGAGAGAGGGGCACTCAAGAACGACACATCTGGATAAATAGGAGAAATGAGCCAGGGAGATAAAGGGCAAAGGCCCAGAAGAATATCATGCTCAAGGAACTGAAAAAAGCTCGATACAGCGGAGGCCCAGGGACTCTAGAGCAAAAGTTGGGACTTCATGAGACCCTGGGAAGGATTTGGGGAGTTATCATCATGGCAATTAGAAGCCACTGAAGATATTAAGCAAAGAAATCCGTGCTTGTATATGCACACACGTCTTCCTGCACCAGCACTGCAGCCAGGCTACCCACCCTGCCTGGTATCAGTATACACCTATGTGTGAGAGTACAGAGCTCCCACCACCATGATGCAACCTCTAGTACCTGGTTCATTACAAGAGAAAGAAACCAAGTAAGCACTTTTAGGAACTCCATCCCACCACAAACACACTGTGAGATGCATCATGACTTTCCACTGGAGAAACCTCAGTCCTAACCATTCAGGGCAATCAGCAAAGGAAAGTGGCATATGGTTCAGTCTTAAACTGCCAGGTCCTTCAGCTGACACCAAAAAAATGGACCTCTGGAAATTCTACAACGTTTGCCTCTCCCTACACCTTGCTGTTTACACTCTTGCTTTCTATGACAGCATTCTTTGTAGCATTATTAATGGCTATGTTTCCCCTCCAATTAAGGATTCTGACTTCCCACCTAAAGCATTGGTATCCATCTCTAACAGAGCTACTTTCAGCAAACACAGTCTGGCCCCATCCCCAGGGATTCTGTTAACACAAGACCCAACCATGATGAAAATGATATCAGCTAGGTACTTGCAAAGATTCACTAAGATAGCAAGGAGGAGGCGGAATATAAAGGAGAGAAGAATATCTAATACATTTTCATTGAGTCTGACTGTGTATGTATTACAAGGTTGTAAGCATTATAAATGGAAATATAAAAGGCCTATATACCAGCCATGAGATATTATTTTAGTTGGGAGGTAAAGTGACCATGAAATCAATGGTGATTAAAAAAAACCAGTTTCATAATATTCATTGTGTACTGGTTGTTGCTAATCCATTCTGCATAGAATGTAAAACTTTTCTCAGCACTTAGTTTTAAAAGCAATTTCTTCTGAGGGATTGTAGCACTAGATGTCAGTGAGGGATGTATGGATAACATCCTCAATAGAATACTCATAGCAGATACAATAATGGATTCCCAACGGTGTGTCTTGAGGTAGATGTCAATGAAAGTCAAAGTATAACAGCAATTGCCATTCAATGAAAGCAAGTCTATAGAAGGCCAAAGCAGTATGTCTAAGTACAGGGCTTTCTAATGATTACTTTGATCCAGAGAAAATCTTGCAGCAGTTTTTCTCAAACTTTACTATGCAAATGAGCCACCTGGGAATCTTGTTAAAATGCAGATTCTGGTTCAGTAGGTCAGGGATTAGGGGGAGGGAGATTAGAGAGTCTGCTTTTCTAGCAAGCTCTCAGGCTATGGCATGCAGGCAGTATTTTCAAGAGTGAGAATCTATATCACAAAAGAATAGATGAACTGCATGTCCTTCACACAGTCTTCAATAAATATAACTTCTTTGATCATAACTTCTATTAAAAGTTTAAAACAGATAGTCTCTGATCATATTCTCTAAAACAGGCCTGAGTTGCATAGATTATGTGTCTGTAATGAAGGAACGAAATGCTTTAAGATGAATTAAATCAAGTTAAAGAAAGACAAAAAGACTGTCAAGTACAGTATATAAAAGCCTCCTGGAAGCCCTATCCCCTGATAGAAAACTTGGGTTGGCCCAAAGCCACTGGTGTGAATTCTATATCCAAAGGGAATTCAAACACTACCTCTTTTACACCCACCCTACAGAACCTTGCCCCAATCAAGCCCTTGGATGCTATCAATTAGACAAACAGCCACAAGAGTTCCCTGAAGATCAATTCCATTCAACCTGGTCTCCTTTCCCACCTGGTCCACCATAGCTCATGACTTATTCTACCTCAATTATGTCATGTTCCTGAATAGTTGTTTAATAGAATAGGTAGTTGGTTATCATGTCAGTTAGTTCCAGACTGTCAAGACTACCAAATGTCAATACATATATGGTTGTTTAAACCAAACAATACAGATATTTATAGATGTGGTATAGACATGTACAATTGTAAAAAAAGGACAAAGTAGATGGAAAGTTCATATAAATTAGGCAATACATATAACTATTCATTATTAATTAGTACACTAAATTAATTACTTTGATATAGGTAAAAAAGATACTTTACCAAATCATCAAAAATATCTCTCTGATGCACATGGATGGTAATTAGAGTTTCAAATTTTACTCTATCAAACTTGCTTAGGTCATGAGTTGTCTGACTAATAAGAGTATTTAAAATATCCAAAAATTTCTGATTGGTAGCTTGCATGACTTTCCTGTCATCTTTTGCATTATTTAAAGCCTCTTCTGAATCATGTGTCCATAACATCTGAATTCCCAGAAGGCCAACCTACAAATCCAGCAGACAAACATTTAAGTTTTCCAAATATTTAAAGCATAGCTATAATAAATTTGATCTATGCTTATCTGCATGAAGGCAAACAGGATTTTACTCATCTTAAACTAAAAAAGAGACATGCAATTTTTCCATTCTGAAAGATGGGAACCATTTCACCTTCTACCTATCACTATTTGCTTTAAATGTACATAGATAAATAATTAAGATAACAGCCACCTTTTGTTGAACTATTTATATTGTCTTAGTCCATTTTGTGCTTACACAACAGAATATTATAGATTGGGTGATTTATAAAGAAAAAATAAATAAATTTCTCACAGTTTTGAAGGCTGAGAAGTCCAAGGACTGGGCCAACATCTAGAAAGGGTCTTCTTGACACATCATCTCTCACAGCAGAAGGCAGAAAGGCAAGAGAGCATGTACAAGCTAGTGCCAGAGAGGACCCAACTTGTTTTTACAACAAAATTAACCTCATGATAGCTAACTTACTCCCAAGATAATGACATTAATCTATTCATAAGAATAGAATAGAACCTGATCACCTTCCACTGGAGATTACATTTCTAACACATGAATTTTTGGGGAACACATTCAAACCACAAAATATGCTACAGAAGATGCTTAGGAAATGTTTCTACAGAGGACCACAAGAATCTTCCATGAGAAGATTTTTCTTTCTCAAGAAAAGCAAATGGGGGTTGGGAGCATGGCTCAAGAATCCCTGCCTAGCAAGTACTAGGCCCTGAACCCCAGTGAGGGGGATGGTGGGGGGCGGGAGTGAGTGTGGAGGGAGGAAGAAAGGGAGGAAGGGAAGGAAGGAAGGAAGGAAGGAAGGAAGGAAGGAAATGAAATAATGAACTCCACTGTGCATTTTTTCTTCAGTAGGGTTTTCCAAAGATCTCTTTGCATCCTCTAAACATTATGCCACCTATCTCTTTTTTCTTTTCTTTTTTCAATGGCACTGGGGTCGAATTCAGGGCTTCACGCTTGTTAGGCAGGCGCTCTACCACTTGAGCCACTCCACTAGCCCATCATTTCTTGATCTCTCACTCTAACATCCACTCTAATACTTTCACTTTAGGACTGTAATACATCAAGTTCTCTGTCTATATGTTTGTCTTCAAAAGAGTGAAGGGGAACAGCTCACTCTTGGGGTCCTGATAAAGGCATAAAGAAACTGCAGATGGACATACCTGGGGACTATAATTTCTACTCTGGGAAAGGAAACCAAATGAGTGCAAACTCACCCCATCCTTGCCTCCTCACTGAAACACTTGTCTCCTGGCAAGCTATAGTTCACCCCAAGTCCACCAACAGATCCTGGATCACTTGGACCACATTTGACAGTGTGGGCAGTGTGTGGATACTGTCTGGCATGGTAGGTAATAGAAGGTAAATCAAGAAAAAAACCCACTCCTTATCCCTGCCCTATGAGGAAATTTGAAAGTTTTTGTGGGGCACAGTGACCAATCCTGGGGTCTACAGGTGAAGGAAGTAAAAGCACCTGACTGAAGTAAGCAACAGGATCAAGAGGAACTAAGTGATGTTAGGAAGTTCCCAAGAACATGCAGATTCTGACCACTGCAGACGGTCCAAAATGGGGAAAGCAAGGAGAAAAAAAAAGTACAAAAGCATATAGTGGTGTGGTGTTTAATTTGAAGACAAATAGGACCAGCAGATCCTGAAAAAAAAAACACTGCATAATTCCAAGAACGAATCTTTAAAATGATTATCCTGGGTCACCAAGGAAAATCTAAATTATGCTTTTATACTCAGATTAAGAAGGTAGGGGACTTAATGGTAAAAACTGAAGGCTGTTTTGTTAAAATAAAAAAATAAGAATGTTCCTTGTCATCAATATTACTTGATGCCTGTGTAGGCATATTTGAAAATTCTACAAGGGAAAATACTGAAATGCTAACAGTCTTCATTTCCAGCTGGTAAAAAGATGGGAAGCTTTTTTTCCCCACTTTTAAAACTTTTTGCTGCAAGGATTCATTCCAGTCATAATCTTTAAACTATGTTTTAGAAGAAGACAGAGATGGCATTTTAAACAATTTTAGATAAAATTTTTAAATTAATTTGATAGCAGGCAAATTTCAGCAATCTGGAAAAATTGCTTTAAAAATAATATATGCATATACAAAAGAAAATCCTAAAAGTCTATCAACTTTCCTACTGTGTCCTGTTCAACTTCACCACTATTCTGAATTTGCTCCCAATACCACTTCAACTCCCGAATACAGAAGGTCAAGCTGCCCAGGGAGTGGGAAAACATGTTTATTTAACCTACAAAGCTATTTTTTCTCAACTTAGCACAGTATTTAAAAAAGTTTTATCACAAAGGTAATAATACAAATAAGAATACTAGAGTTTGTTAAGGGTATTACAGAAATCACCCCAACATTAAAATAATCTCTACCACGAAGGTTTGAGCTGTATCTGTACTTGTGTGGTTTGAACAGATAATTTCATTACATTTCAGCTGTCTCTACTTCATGTGCACTAATCCAGGGCTTGGAGTTCAGGCAGGGAGGAAAAGTTGGAGAAGAAATACAGTTTTGCTGTACTTTCTTCAGCTATCTCGTCTTCTATCTCATGCTATTTGTACTCATACTGCAAATCATCACTTTCATCAGCATTTTTCATTTATCTTGGATGAAAATTTAATGAAATGTTGGCTCCTCTTTTCTTGTACTGGGTGTTTTAATAATACTTGACATATCACAATGCACTTCTAAGAGACACAGGACATGAGAACTGCTCTCGAGAACACTCGCTTCCATCCTGCCCTCTCCCAGGACTTCTGGTTCCAGGAGGAAAACTCACTTAATACATTGTGCCAGTTTTTAGTCACTTGAAGGGAAAATCAATGGAAAGGCAAGACGGGTTTGATTTCAGGAAAAGGTATGCTCCTTCCTTTTACCTATGTCAATATGTATATCTGTATCTCATTTAGCTAAGTATTGATACACGTATGTACATCTGTAAGGTAAAATTTTTCATAAGTGGTTTTAGTCTCAGCGTATGTCCTCAGTGATGAAAGAATCATCACATATCCTCTGCTGGGGGACAGGCTGTGATGGCCTAAGATGGTGTGGGCAGGACAGGCAGGTGGCTGGGAGCTGAGGTTAAGTGAGGGTGGGTAGGACACACTGAGGAGTTTCACAGCTGCAACGGCCTCCACACTATCCAGCCAACTACCTCCTGAGCATCCCCTCCCACCCCACCCCAATTTCCATTTCTTTTAACCATTGACAAACATTGTCACCTCACCTGGGCTGGAAAGTGATGGAGGAAAGGTAAGAGTTGAAATCCTGAATCACTGATTTGATAGAATGCAGATCTGATTATGTTATGTAATGATGACATCTGAGATTTTAACAAGTCCAGAAGCCAAATCTCCACGGGTCCCTTGGCCATCACAGCAGAATCCAACTAAAAATATAATGCAGATGCATGGAAAATTGCTATTAAGTTGGTATTTTTACAAATGTTACACCTTTAACTTGATAAATCATAGTACTGTAATCCAAGGCACGTTACCTTATGTTAAGCCTTAAAACTGGATAAAGTCACCTAACACTACTCTTGGAAGGAATTATAGCTACCATCTATTTTAAACTCTCATTTTAGAAGTACTAAAATGAGTCTTGGAGCAGGTAAGTGATTTATCCAAACTAGTTTGTAACAAAGCCAGAGCTATAGATTTAGAGCCCAAGGTCAGTAATCTTCTGCCCCTTTATTTTTCATGGAGAACTGCATTCTCTACCTAAACTTTAAGAGAAATCCTAATAATAAAAGTATAAGCGAAGGAAATTACAACAATTTTTTCTCCTTCTCTTGATATAACAGCCATCATACGATCGTAGTCTTTGGGATGAAATGTCACCTCGTTTATATTGTCAGATACGGCAGGAAGATGTGGCTGTAAAAAACATAAGACAGAGCCAAAATGTCACACATGAGGCTGAACATATTAGCCATTGAGTTGGTTTTAAAAACTTTAGTATTAGCCCAGTGCAGTGACTCACTCCTATAATCCTAGCTACTCTGGAGATAGAAATTAGGAGGATTGGGGTTCCAGGCAGCCTGGGCAAAAAGTTCTCAAGACCTGTCTTAACAGAAAAAGCAGGGTGTGGTAGTGTACACTTGTCATCCCAGCTATGTAGGAAGTGTATATAGGAGGATTGAGTCCCAGGCCAGCCCAGGCAAAAGCATGAGACCCTACCTGTAAAATACCTAAAACAAAAAGGGCTAGCAGAGTGGCTCAAGTGGTAGAGCATCTCCTTATCAAGTATGAGACCCTGAGCTCAAACCCCAGGACTGCCAATAAATAAATAAACCTTAGTGTTTTATATCTTCATATATGAGTTTACTTCCTTCTCTCTAAAAACAAAAACAAGAAAAAATATATTCTGTTTTGACCCTTGACTGACTTAGAGACCCACTTTTTAAAATCCTGTAGAATGTTTTCTCTAAATCCTGCAAAATGTCCCCTCTTGTACTATGGAGACTGGACTAAGTATTGTCCCCTTCCTCCCTCCAGATGGAGACTGAACTTAACCATCTGGGCCCTCTTCCTTCCCAGCTACAGGTTGGCCCAGCCTTCTTTCTTAACTACCTCTCCCAAGCTGTCTTTCACAGCATTTACCTCATCCCTCATCTGCCCAACTCCCTGGAAACCCAAAAAGATTAAGTGGTAGCTATTCTCAGATCCTCAAACCACAACCGGCCCTTGGGTAAACCCTTCAGTGCCTCCATGCTGTCATCTATAGTGTTCTCGTCCTCCTGAAGTACTTGACAATAGCTAAACATGTCTGGAAGGGAAACAAGGGCAAATCCAAGCCACAATTCATGCTTGGCCTAAGAATATTTAGAACGAAATTCTCATAATTGTGAATTACCTTCAGTGGGCACATGCTGTATCCCAGATACCTAGTTCTTATGTACTATCTCATGTAGTCACCATGACATTCTGAGGAGGGAACCATTAATGTCCCAGTTTTACAGATGAGGAAACTGAGGCACAGGAAAATGAAGAAGCTTGCCAAGGTCACACCACTAGTGAGTGGTGTACTGGATGACTTGCCAATACCACTGGACCGTGTCAGGCTGATAAGCTCTGAATTTATAGAAAATAGGACGTTTCACAATCAATATAGCTTTTAATACTCATCTTTCCTGCTTACACATTTCAGTTGTTGATTTTATTTCTGTTCTTGGTTGTGCATGCTGTGGAAAAAAGCAATTTAAGTCACAGACACTGCGAGTACCTGTATGGTATGGGAATCACTGGCTTGTCCAAGGATTTCCAGGAGAACTGGATCAGATACAAAGAAAAATCTTGGGAACAATAATCGCTTCTTCTCCAAATACCTTCAGAGAAAGTCAACAGCGAGTTACTAAGAGATTTTCTTCTGAATTATTACTTTCTTAGCCAAGACATCTTTAATGAGATAATGACAAACACCCAGAGGCATTTTCCACTCACTTCTGGAATGTTTAATAGGAATCACAATCTGTGTTCCACCATGGAGGCCACTTGGAAGACAAACGGGTCATGAGAATGTGATTTGGAGAAGGGCCCCCACCCCTTCCTGTCCATCATCTGCCATCACCTCCTTTCTCAGCCTCCTGTGACCTTTGTAAGAGTGCTGGGAAACTCATGGCTGAAACCCAGAGTGACCAACCACATCATTTATCTCCAAACCATTCTTTTGAGAATGAAATGGGGTATGATACCCATGAACCAAAGACAGAGGCATAAACGTAGGCAAACCAGTGTAGGTCATCACCTTATTTCAAATTTAAATCGAGAAGAAGCTCAATGTTTAGAACTGTCTTTCGGAAAGTTATCTATGAATTTGTCTGGTTGTCTTAGAGCACATCTCTACTCCATGCCCATAGCAGAGTGAGTGGCAGCAGTGTCCACAAAATATTTCAGAGAATCTGTCAATGTGACCTTATTTGGAAACAGGACCCTTGCAAACATAATGTAATGAAGTCCTTTTTGAGACGACTTCAACCTATTTTATTACCTGGATGAGCCCTAAGCCCAATGACAAGCGTACTTATGGGGGAAAAAGAAGAAAAGAAGAAAGCCAGGTAAAGTGAGAGACAGAAATTAGAGTGATGGCCACAATCCAAGGAATTCCTAGAGCCACCACAAACTGGAAGAGGCACATTTCAGAGAGAGCTGGCGTCTTGACCTTCAACTTCTGGCCTCTAGAACTGTAAGAGAATAACTGTCTGTTGCCTTAAGCCACCCAAGTTTGTAGTGATTTGTCACTGCAGCCCTGGGAAACTGATCCAATGCCTTAACTCATCCACACCAAGGAAAAAATGTCTTTCTCACGGAAAAATTAACTCTGTGAATTTTAAATTCCTATTCCCACCTATTGAACCAGCACTGTAAAACCAGACAGCCAGTCAGTACTAGTGATTGGTTTGGAATAAAACACTGCAATAGGTAAAATGATATGTAGTTTTAAAATCCAACTCTTACCCTGAAAGTGACTTCTGACATACTTCCAACTGTTCGTGTAAATGAGGCAAAAGTTGCCCCATGGTTTCGTCTCCGACACAGCAACTAATCACATTGGGGTTTTCATGAGCTCTCTGCATTATTCTTATCCATGCCTTGTCAATATTCTGAAAACGTTTTGCTTCCTAAAAACAAATCCATAGTCAGTAAAGATTAGCATCTGAATAATTGAAACAGCAAAGTCTCCACTTTGGAGTTTCTTATGGTTCTTCACACCAGCCTCCATTAATCTCAGGCTACGTAATTTAAACAATTTTTTCTGCCTGAATTAATTCTGAAAAACAAAACACCAAACTCACAAAGCTGCTTATTACAATACTGCTTGATCACAATGGGCTTTTTATCACTCATGTGTTCCCTTGCATTTAATATATCTTTGAAGTACCACCTGATTAATTTGCACAGCTATCAACTAGGAGTTCAAATCTACTCTTTCAGCACCCCAGGTGTTTTGGTTTGATGAGCAGGCTGAAGAAGCATGAAAATAATTTGATCTCAGGATCCTTAGAATAATTACAGCTCAATAGTACCTTGGGGGTGGAGGAGAAAACAGGAGAAAACAAAATAAACTTTCGTTTACATTTTTGCAAATGCAAATTTCCTATTTACTATGGGTGATATTAAGCTTTGCATTCGATTGAAAAAATGCCTCTGGAAATTGGCATAAACTTGCTTCTTTTAAAAATGCAATTTTGTAATTAAAAAAGAAAAATGGTAAATCTCAGTTTTATGTTCTAAAAATGTGTCGTAAAGGACAATGAGCCATTTTCAATACTTTTCATCCTTGCTTTACAATTTATTCAGATCCTGTTTGTAGACAGAGAAATTGAGGAAGGGCAGTCTTAATTTTATAAGAGGAAAGTTACCTTCATAGTTTTAAAATGCCAGTCAGTTATTGACATTAATTTAAAAACACTAATAGAGGAGTTGTGGCTCAAGTGGTAGAGTACCTGCTTTGTAAGCACAGGCCCCAAGTTCAAACCCCAGGCCCTCATCTGCGGATTATAGACCTAAAACAAATGCAGTAATATTATTGGACAGGGGTCACACACTAAGGGGAGAATGCATATAGGAGGAATAGGGAAAGGGAAGGAAACCTAAAACTTGAAAATGTTTGACATGCCCACTGTAGAGGAGGTAATAAAGTAATCTTAAACTGACAGAGGTCACTATGGGAAGGTGACTGGGAAGTAGTGAAGAGGTCTGGTAGAGATGAATCAATTAGGATTTAATACACATGTGCATGGAAGCAATGCTAGGAATCTCTCTGTATAGCTATCCTTATCTCAAACTAGCAAAAATGCCATGTCTTTCTTATTATTGCTTATGTCTTCTCTTCAACAAAATTGGAGAAGAGGGCAGAACAGGTAGGTTCTGCTGGAAGCAAGGGGGTGGGGAGGGGGAGGGGAGAGGTGGCCCAAACAATGTATACACATATGAATAAATATATAAACAACTAAAAAAAAAACACTAATAGAGTTGTTTTAAAGCTTTCATTGCAGACTTTTTTTCTGTGGCATACTAGGGGTCAAAGTCAGGGCCTTGCACTTGCCAGGCAGGCACTCTACAACTTGAACCACTCAGCCAGCTCTTTTAGTATTGCTTATTTTTTAGACAGGGTCTCACTTTATGCCCAGATCATCCTGGGCCATGACCCTTCTATTTGTGCTTCCCTACATAGCTGCAACAATAAGCATGCACCAATGGGCCCAGCCATTGCTTTAGATGAGGTCTCAAACTTTTTGCAGGGACGGGCCTAGAACTGTGATCCTCCTGATCTCCACCTCCAGAGTAGCTAAGATTATAGGCAGACGACACTGCTCCTGGCCCTCATTACAGGCTTTTAAAGTACTATCTTTTTCCCCACAGTATGTTTCTGACCTGTTGGTAATAGACTTACTACTAGTTCATTTGTGCTTACAGACTATAGCGTCATCTCAATCCTATGATCAGAGAATTTTTTAAGGCTAACTCTTGGAAAAGATGAATTCCTACAGTTTCATGGCACTGAATTTCAAAGTGCACCACATACTCAGTCTCAGGTGTTTCACTGTTTGAAACTGTGAGTTTCTTTTTCTTGCTAACATAAATCAGAGGTCGGCACCTTTGTTGTGTGAGTATGTATTCTAATAAAACTTTAAGCAGGTGAGCAAGCGATAGTTTGGCAACCTCTGGCATAATCAAGACTTAGCCACACATCTCGGGGAAGATTTTCTCAAACACACAGATAACATGCACCAAATTATTTCATCAGAAATTACAAAAGCTCTATTTACCTGAGGCAGCTGTTTGGCGATATCTCCACCTACAAAGACGGCCTCAAGGTAGACCCAAAGGTTCTGTACCACCAGCCACTCTTCAATTATATCTGAGGAAGTGGACAATTTATACACCCAGTTTTGGATATTTTTCTTAAATGGAGCATTATATCTAAAAATTAAGAACGGAAAACATGTTTCAACAGGGAGGCTAGAAAACATATGGCCTGACAAAGCAAGTTACCAGAGAAACACTCCTGTGGCAATGAACACTTTTGTCTTGAAAAGGACAGTCCCCAGTAAATATCATACAGCTAATAAAATTTTTGCTTTTTATGAATAAAGATCTGGTAACCATAGGCACTTCACTTATTGTTCCCATGTGTCAGTCATAGCATATGAAAATGGGCCAAGGTTTATGGCACAAAGGTCCAACTAAGAAACTGTGCCACTTACCTCTGGGGATAAATAATAACAAGGAATAATATGTTTTTCCTAGACTTCTGTGAACCAGATCCAAATGGAGTCTGCCTGTGAGAGCAACACTTAAGACGCTATTTGGTAACTGTCCATGGAATTATTGAATCTAGGGAAAGAGACCATTATCTGGAGATTTTTCTTCTGAAAACAGTCTTAAGGGGTTCATGTTAAGGTCATCTCTAAAGGGACAGGGCAAATCTGATCTCTAAAATCAGAAGAGGGCTAGGGTATCACCAGGTTCATTTGGAGAAAGATTACTACAAAATTAGGCTCAAGCATGGGGTCTTATGCTCACTTACATGTTACCCTTCCCACTCAGACTGAGAACTCCACCAAGTACTACAACTAGATTGTGCAGAAATAGAGATCCAGGATATCTACCCCCAAATAGCACAGCTCCTGTTTTCTCATCATCACAAACATATGAAGTGTTTATGAGAATACCACGTATCCATAAAGCTGAGAACAGAGAAAGACAAGAAACAGAATGGATGCCATGGAAGAAGTGATGGGTGGTCACTAGTTAACATCCCAATTACCTACAGTGACTGCAAGAGGTTGACTTCAGTCTGTGGCAGTAGCAAATAATTTTGATATGCTGCAGTGGCACTCCTGGGGAGAAGGACCTGATGACTAGGGTCTTTAAACTTTTCCTGATCCAGGACCAAATATCCTGAAGGTACTCATGGGGGTTTTCTAGATACTGTCTGATGCCTGAGTACAACCCACACTTTTCTAGTAGTCTATGTTATATACTGAGTTATAAAGGGAGTTGCATAAAAATCACTCCAAGGAGGTAATCTAGTTGTTCAGACAATAAGAGGTAATTCTCAGTGTATACTATTCCTCTGGCCATTGGTCTAGAGCTGAAAGGCAGGAATTATACAAAAAAATATTCAAAATCAATGCCATGGGTAGGCATTTCAGGGAAATGAAGCACCTAGCTATTGAGGATCAGAAATGGTCCCACCCAGGGAATAAGAGTCATCTCTTGCTCTCTTATAACTTCCCAACATGAAAAAGGGAGATCTAGCATAATCTAGTAAAATCTAGCATAACTAGCTTCTATCCTTTGGCCATATATACATTGCACAACTTGTATGATATAGTAGAACCAACCAAGGCTTATAGTCCCATGGGACCAGAGCACCACCAGGGAAGTGCTGCAACCCAGGTGATATTTCACCCACGGAGACATACCACTTCCTTCTAAAGTTACATGAAGGTTGTCCCAGAGAGCCAACAGGCTCTGCCTGCTATGAAGTTAGTTCTAGAGTAGGATTCCCTGATCTACTTGGTGCTTTAAAGTTCTCTAGCATAAAAATCTCCCAGAATGAGATGACTTCTTAGATACTCTTATTCTCTTTCTATCAAGGCCTTAACATTGAGTGTACTGGTACCATACATCGGTATTATACTCATCAGATTATATCCAAATAAATATGGAATTCAAAGATTCTTATCCTGAGTTCCTTAGTCACAGACACTGCTCAGGTCAGTCTACAAGCCCTTCCTCAAGAGGTTGTCATCCAGGAAGTCTGGATGGCCAAATGTGCAGTGAGCCCTGGGGAATTACCAGGAACAGTGACTATCTTATGATCACCTTTGCCTGGATTACTCAGATTCCCCAAAAGCGGAAGATGCACCCTGGGATCTTGACCTCAATAAATTCAACCCCGAATGCCCTGGACTAGGAGCTTTGTAGATTAGTACATTATCTAAAAACAAGGCTGCCCCTGGAGCCAGAGGTCATGGGGATGCCAGTCATTAATGAGGGATCTCAACTTGGAAATTCAGAATCTCTATGCTCCCTGGACAGTAACCTCTGCTAATTATAGGCTTGACGTATTTCTTAGGCATGTTAGAGTGAAGACTAGTGAAGCACTACTGCACAATAAGCTAAGAAAACAGAGGTTGCAAATACCCAAACAAATATGAGCCCCACCGGAACTTTCTGAAGCTGAACTTGACATTACATGAACCTCAGAGATGGTCCAGTAGTTCACTGATGAACAGGTTGCCTCATTCAGGCCAAAGTGGATCCAACACAGGTGTGACCACTTTCCACCTTAAAAATATAAGTGCCAAACCCCTAATGATATTTTACTTTTATGTGGGTCATTGGGTAACTGCTTGAACAGGATTAGCCAAAGAGGGCAATGATGACAAGTCAGAGGAACAAAAGAGAAAAGAGAGATAAAACGAAGAGGTCACTTCAGTGGAGAACCACAATGTTGAGCTGCTAACCTAGGGGGATAATTATGGTAGCGCACCCTGGGAAAAATAGGGAAGGAGAGATAAGAACCATTAAAGAGGAGATTGAAGTCACCTCATATAAGGAGAGACAAGAACTAGCAGTGTAGAGCAAAATCTTATATAATGCCACCGCTGCAAAACTGGACTTTTGATCTTAAATACCAAATTAAAACCTCTCCCCCAAATTATAAAATTACCTGTTGCTTAGCAAGGAACCTAAGACCATTAAGCTGTCCTCCATCAAGGTGATAATCTCTCCTGATTCGGTTCCTTTGAGCAGAAGCTCACCCTTCCCTTTAAATGCTGCAAAACTTAGGTTTTGGTTTGTCCAATTATCAACCACCTGAGTCATCTTGGCTTCTATGTCCTTTTCCTTAATGGCAGATATGCAAATATCCTTCAGAGGAAGATCAGAGAATGTGTCAGGATATTTTCAATTCCATCATAAAATCACAGAACGTGTAGCATGGAAGGGACCCAGAAGTCACCTAATTCAGTGAGTTATTCTGTGGCCAAGAAAACCAAGTCTATTGTGTTGTAGGACCACACCAAAACCGTGTGACTCAGACTACTAATTATTTTCTTGTACTACTTACATGAGCTAATGGAACTGAAATTAGCTTTTCTTCATTATATTTCTAACTGGAGTTTTTTGCTAACATGGAGATAATCCCAGCTGCCCCATCTACCCTGGAGGCTAGCTGTGAGAACCAAATGAAAACGGACATGAGAGCCTTCTGAACTCTTTTAAGTGACACATAAATATTACAATATTCTTGTCCATTCTGGTCCTAATATGAGTATCTCATTTGCTAAAAAGTCAACTCTACTTTTTTCTCATGGTTTTTCCAGTTCTGCAGAGGGTGGCTGGAAAGGGAGAGGACATCCTGTATGGAAGGAAAGGACTTCCTATAGAAGCATGGGATCCACTTGGCTAGTGGTAGGGCATGTGTGGTGAACCAACAGGTTGCATCTAGGTAGGCAGTACCAAGAGTCTGCTCAGAACACCAAGAGTTAACAACCAATCCCTAGAATTATTTGGAGTTTTAAAATTAAAATTTCAAGTACCAGTCAATGAATGGCTACATTCTTTTGTTGTTGTTGCTGTATTAGGGTTTGAACTCAGGGCCTGTCACTTTCTAGGCAGGTACTCTACCACTTGAACAATGCTCTCAGTCCTTTTGTTTTTATTTTGTTTTTCAGATAGGGTCTCCCACTTTTGCCCAAGCTCTCCTCAGACCTTGATCATCCTACTTCTGCCTCCCAGGTAGCTGGGATTACAGGTATGTACCACCATACCTGGCTTGCTACATTCTTAAGTATAAAGGCCCACTTATAAGAATAAGATGGTCACCAAAGTTCTTTTTAACTCTTTTGTTCTCTTCACTAGTATCTTCTTGACATTTACATATAGAGCAAAATGCTTTGAAAGCAAAACTTTTGGTGTATATATGTTATTAAAAAGAGGCAGAGGAAGGCAGAAAATCCAAAATCATATATATGGAAGACTTCTGGTCATTTCGTACAGTTTTCCATCTTCAAAAACCTTAAAATAATAGATAAAGTACAAAAAGAGAAATCAAAAAACAAATGTAGCCAGGCTTAAATCACAAGCAAAAAGCAGGAGAGATATGCAAACCCACAGGTAAAGCTAAAATTCAGGCCCAGGGCCATAGCTAGTGGGGGCCAGGCCTCTGGTTCCACGGGATAAAAGAGACTAAAACTGGCCTATCTGAGAGGGCATCAGGGCTGGATTTTGATCTTTGTACTTATGGAGGAGGTTGCCATCTGGTCATCTAGATTAGATGATGCTGTGCACCAGGAAGATACAGTGATGTGGCCCCAGCCCAGTACTGGCCAGCATCCAGATCCACACACCATAGCACTACAGGGTTATGCCACTACTACCACATCTGGAGCTTGGTCTGGGCTCAGGGAGATGGGAAGTGGGAGAGGGAACCACGAGACACTAGGCAAGGAAAACTAAGGCACTCAGGGGGAGAAACAGCTTTAACAAGTTACATAAGTCACATTTTTTGAAAGCCTACTATTCCAAATGAGTCTGCCTCACAAATAAGAACTACAAAACCCATTTTAAAAATGTAATTCTCAGAGAGGTAGCCAACATAAAAACAGAGCAAAAGATTCAACAATTTGAAAACAATCTTTACGTTCAATCTGCAGTTGTTGGAATACAATTGATCACTGTTTCAACAAGAGGACCCCAATTTGTGTATATGTTTGAAATTTTCCACAGTAAAAAATTTAAAATAATGCATTTGGATTACAAACGCATTATCAAAACTATAGAATTGTAGAAATAAAAAGTCAAAAAATAAAAATAAAACATCTATTTATGCAATTCTCAGAAAAGACAAAGGAGGCCTTCTTAAAGGACCACTGATAAGACCCGATGAGCCTGCGTACCTCAATGTCATCCTTATTTTTGAGGAGTGGTGCTTCCATTATATTTCTGAGACAAAAAGAGTCCGATTCCACATCAAATGGGGTTCCAGTTAACTCAGAGATTCGATCCCAGTGTCTCTGCTTCATCGCCTTATTGGTCATCATTTCTAGTAGAGGGCAAGACTCACTGAAATCATCAATTCTTTTCTTGAGATCCAAGAAAGCTTGCCAATCTTTAAGTCCTTTGGGAAGCTTACGGCATCTTTCAGAAAGAAAGAGACAAAACTGTATCACCTTTGCACTTCTCTGAAGGAGGTGTTAGGTACAAAAAGCAATACATCAGAAAATACATACACATATATATGTTTGTGAAATACCTGGAGGACCCTAAAAAGGTCAGAACTATGAAAACAACAAGGTAATCAACTGACACTCACCGGTTTTGAAACTCCAGCAATTCTGCGTTGATTTTTTCAATGTCCACATCTCCCCAAAGGATTTCATAGTAACCACTGATACTGCCCATGACAGTGTCATACAGCCCATACAGCTTCTGCAGCAAGTTGAGCTCTTTTCTGAGGGAAAAAATAATTAAGCCATCACATAATACATTAGTTTAAAATAAAATCCTCCACTGGCTAGGCTGAGTTCATTCTATCAACATTTCATACATTATGTGTACACTGTCTCTTAGGCACCATGCACATACAGTGACAGTGGCTTCCAATACAAAGACTCTGCTAGAGTTCTATCCATAAAGTTAGGTTCCTATGCACTCTGGGTCATTCTGTAACTTGACATTGACAAAGGGTTTGGTTATTTTGTAAAGGAAAAATCTGGACCTTATATAAATCTAAGTCACATACTGCGATCTGAATTATCTTGTTTTTCCAGGTCTTGATGCATTCTGCTTTTCCACCATCCTAGGAATTATTTCATTATCACTCGCTGCTTATTGCCACCTCTGCTAACCACAAGAGAAGAGAAAAAGGATGAACTCTCCTAACAGGGGCCACAATAGTGAAGAAATAATCATTCTGGTTTCTTATTGCATATCTGCAAGAACTGTGTCATCTTTCAGGACAAGACAAGCACAGAACTCTGCAGACACCATTTTTGAAGTCTTTTGCTTATTTAGCTTTCATTTAAAGTAGCAAAGAATTCAGGAAATTTCATTCTCTTCTTCAAACAGCAAACAGAAGAAAAATGACAAAGGAGTAAGTTTCCCAAAAATTATTAGAGAGAGAAAGCAGCACTGAAGACTAAATTTTGAGGGTGACAATGATTGTGTAAGTGAAATCTCAAACTGTGGGCCTTTGGATCATGATAACCTAGGTGAGTTTTATGAAAATTAATAATTTACAAGTGAACAGAAGATTTTAAGCAAGGCAAGGGCCTCATTGTATAATATCATGCACAAGAATTAGAACCTCCTGTTTTCTGAAAAAGATAACTTTTTTTTCATTATTTATGACGTCTGGACAAGTGTCATTTGATACATTTCATAAGTGGATAGGCACTGGAAGCAGATGTCTATTCAAAGGAAACAGATGAAGTGAAAAACCAAATTAAATTGATCAATCAAAACTAAAAGGGAAGATGTTTGTACAAGGAAGAGGACTGCTCTCTCTTCAACAAAATTAAGTGACTTGTCAACAGTCATGGGTTTGATGATGTAAGTGCGAGAGAGATCAGAGGGAATGTCCAAGGTCCCCTGGAGATGGATCTGAAACCAGTGTTTCCAGGTGGCTCAGCTCCAGGTTTGTGCATGACAGCTGAGGAGGAGTCAGGAGCATTCAAATAATGGTCTGCATTTCGTGTCTGTGCAACTGCAAGCCTCAGCATGATGGAGTAAAAGTTCAGGTTCACACTACTTAAGTTCTTATTAAATTTTCTAATAAAAGTGCCTGCAAAGCAGTGGGGGTGTAGCTCAGTGGTAGAACACTTGCCTAATGTACTAGGCCCTGGGCTTAAGCTGCACACAAAAAAAGAGTACTTTATGTCATTCTGCAAATTACGCACCGACTTTAAAATGCCAATGTAAAGATGGCCCACTGGTCCAGGGGGTAAATGGTGACGATGATTCATCTTGCTATACCCAAGGCTGACATACTGACTCTCACACTGAGTGTGTGTAAGAATCATCTAGAGAATGTGTGACGTGCAGAGTCCCTAGGGACCAATCACAGACCCTGAGTCAACAAATCAGCAACGCGGCTCAGCTATCAGCAATTCTAGCACAGTTGTTAACAGGTCAAGTTTGGAGAATAACTGTTTTAGAAAGAGAGTATCAAACCATTGATCCTAAAGTACTCATTTGTCCTCAGAAAATGAGGGCACATCTTGTCACGTCTGTTTTGACAAGAAATTCTCCTGCTGCCACTGAAGGAAGTCAACAGGAAGTTCTTTGCCAAAGCCAACACCCTAATAAACTATTGCATTGTCTTAATGCTGTTTTCAGGGAAAGTTACATTGGATGCTCCATTAAATATACTTGCTTAAATCCTAATCTAAGGTTCAAAATCAAGGCTGTTCTTTGGTCATCAACTTCAATAAATTCTGTGTCTTTGAGCACTTTGGCACAGATGCAATGAGAAGGATAAAGGAGAGCTGGGGCATGGCTCAAGTGGCAGAGCACCTGCCTAGCAAGTGTAAGGTCCTGAGTTCAAATTCCAATATCACCAAAAAAGTAAGATGCTAAGGAGGGTTATTCCTCTAAATTAAAAAGTGATTTAAAATTGTAACACTTCTGCACAATCATTGATATATTCAAAACCGCTGAAAAGAAAAGGTAAAACATAACCTAAGTTTAAGTCATGCATCCCTAGGATTTTTCCCATGTATTCTCTACTTCTCCAGAACTTTCTATTTCATGTGGACCCTACGTGTCTAACAGGTCAGGAACTGCGGGGCTAAGAGGGGTATTTAAGAGTGCTCCAAACCATGTTCTTTTCTGAACAATAAAGGATTCGACAGGGACACGATTCTTCCAGCATGTAATACTTGTATGTTATCTAAACTTACCTGGTTTTATGCAAAATCTCATAGTCAGTCACTGGCAATCCAAAAAGTTGTTCGCCAGATGAATAAGTTACAAATTTCCTCCAGAGATCATCAAAATTGGCCTATAACAAAGATTTTTACATTGTACTAAAATACAATTAATTCAGATCCCATGAAACTTGAATTTATCTTAACTGTGATATGAGCTGGGTTGAGGCTAATTTGGTACTGTCCATGAGACAATGGCTGGTGGAGCAAGTTTATATTTCTATCAAGCTGCCAGGAAAGCTGAGCACTTAGGAAAGTTAACTTCCAAGCATTCTCAAAGCATCCATTTTCTACATTTTTCTTTTTTTTGGTACTGGGCCTTCTGCTACTTGAGCCATGCCCCAGCCTTTTTTGCTTTGGTTATTTTTAGATAGGCTTAGTGTTTACACTCAGGCCTGCATGGACCTCAATCCTCCTATTTATGGTTCCCACACAGCTGGGATGACAGGTGCACACACACCCACCTATTGGTTGAGATAGGGTTTTGCAAACTTTTGCCTAGGCTGACCTCTAACTATGATCCTCCCAATCTCTGCCTCCTGAGTAGCTGGGATTATAGACGTGAGCCTCCATGCCAAGCTAAAAATTATTTCTTTATTAAGTAGACTCCAGAAGACCTGTATCTCAAGTTCCTACCCCAGAAAGTAATAAAATAGCACTTTTAAAACCAGTAATTCAGACTTTTTCACGACTATCTCCTCCTACAGAGTTAAACAATGAGTAAAGTGTTATTGTAACATATTCAACTTGCTTTCTCTATATGCAAGAGTCTATAAGATGAAAGGTTCAATTTTAACAGCATTGGAAAGAATTCTAACAATTTAAACCAGCAAAGTTAATGCACGTTTTTAATGGAATTTGAATAGCCTATATTTGAAGTGCTAAATACTAACCATGTTCAAAGCAGAAATGCAACAGAAGTAATCCAGGAGGTGTGCGCTCTGCAGAAATGGTTCAGAGCGCCCTTATCGGCAGCTTTACCTGCGGTTAGCATCTCCCTAAATCTCCCTGCTTGTCTTCTCACTGCTGGGCTTGGGCACAAAATGCAAATCCTGCCTAGCATGCTTTTCTTCCTTCCTCTACCTAAGTCTAACTAGTCCTCAAGATTAATCTTTGATGCCTCCTCCTCTAGGAAGCTTTCTCTGTATTCTCCAAGAGCTGAATTCTGGGCTGGGAGCCTCTTGCCTCTGCTTCCCTGACACCAGTTCTCCTAATGAGATCAGGGTGCTCCTCACATGGTTTAGGAATCATCTCTCTACCTTGCTGTCTCCCTAGGAGATTTTAGTAGCTTTAGAGGTGAGAACAATTTCTTGATCAAATTTCTATTGGCCAAGACACACAGTAGCATCTGACAAACATTTTCTTTTAATTTCTGAGAATGGAGATGGGAACATGAAAAGAACATGCATTCTTCAGCCACTGTAGGAAGCAGGGCAAAAGGACAGGAAGGACAGAAATCAGATGCTCCTGATAGGCTAAGTCACAGAGGAACCCATGAAGATAACAAAGCAATTATTCAAAAAGGCACGTAATTTATTTTTTTATTTTTTTTTAAATGTGCTCAGGAATCTGAGTGTCATGAAAGATGGTGAATGGTGGATCTGATTCGAGAAGTTCCATACGGCCTGGAGCAGAGAAGCTTAAAGTGACGCATACAAGAGGAAGACAAAGACAAGCAGGAAAACCATTTCCCAGCACTTGAAATCTTGTGTTGGTAAGTTGTGTTATACTATACATTCTTACCACGTTATACAGCCAATGAGATACTTGAAACTAGAATAAGGTATTACTTCAGTTCACAGGCAAGATTATATTTTCTAAAAATACAGAGAGGTTCAATGAAGGACCTGGAGGGATGTAGACAAGGAATCTATGACATCACTTAGCAGACTGGAATACAATTAAGACCTGTATGTATTTTTAAACATTAACTTTTCTATTATAAAACAAAACATAAATTTTCCCCTGAAATAATCTTTAAAAATAATACACTGCAACGTAGGTATTGGTAGCTCACACTTATAATCTCTAGTTGGGAGGCAGAGTTCAAGAAGATAGCAGTTCAAGGCCAACCATATCTCAACTAATAAGTCAGGTATGGTACTTCATATCTACAATCCCAGCTACCCAGCACAGGTAGAATTGCAGTGTAAGGCTAGCTAGCCCAGGCAAAAAACACAAGTCCCCAGATCAAAAAGGATGTGGTTCAAGTAGTAAGCTCGAGCCCCTGAGTTCAAGCCCCATCACCAACAAACATAAAGAAAGAAAACATTGTCAATGTAACAACAACAAAAAAAAAGTGGCTTTACCTGAAATATCTGTAGCCTGTTGCTAGCTTCTTGGGGTGGAATATTTGGAACCATGGGTCCTTCCTGTAAGAAATAATATAATCTCCATTTTCATTCTTAATTAGATGCATTTGTCTATTTATTGGGTCTATCTAATATTTCCTCTTAAATAAATAAGCATTATTTTTTCACTTAAGTAGTCTAACTCAGTCCTATATTGAAGCTCTCGTTTATTTTTCAAAATCACTTTATTGTGATATAAATCTATACGCTACACAGTATATATGCATACAGCAAAGTATATACAAAATAATCGCTGGATAATTCACCCATTTAGAGTGCACAAGTCAATGTTTTTCTTAGTGTATTCAGAGGTGGGCAACCATGACTACAATCTCTTTTAGAACATTTTCAATATGCCAGCTCCCATTTGTTTATAAAGAACCTTGACACAGCTAATAAAAAATGAGAAAAAAATCCCATGCTTTGTGAAGTGTGTGCCACAAGAGCTCTGCTGAATTTCACCTCTGATTATAAATGAGGATGCTGTAGCTGCGAATTAGAATAACTGTCCTAAATTCTGAGAACGGCCCTCGTACTGATGGTTCAGGCCAACAGGGAAATAGAGACACTGGGAGAAGCAGCAGCAGTCCCTGGTGGCCAAGAGTCAGGACATTGTTGCAAAACAATCCCCTCAAAAGCCAAGGACTTCTCACACAGCCACAGGTGAAAACAAGAATGGCTGTGCCCAATGGGAACACAAAGAGTATTGAAAAATTCATGTGGATGGTACACTCATCCTAAGCAATAGGCCAGATTCCCAGTGTAATTGTGTTTAAAAGGTAAACCAAGGCACGATACAATTTTAAAGAGCATATTTGAACACACGGTGGTCAGGAATCAGGCAGCTCCAGACCAGAATTGGCTCAAGGGCTCCCCTGCCCTAAGGATTTTTACAGAGTAAATGTGGAAGTAATGTGAGGAAAACATTTAATTGGTTGCAGATATGAAGTTGCTTCTGTAGTCTATCCTGCTGAAAAGTCCTTAATTGTATAATTATAAATTTGTTTGCTGTTTATCATTGGTTTAACTTAAGTTCTGCATTTCTTAATACAGACATCTATAAGAAATAAGAGCAGGGGGGCCAGTGGTTCACCCCTGTAATCCTAGCTACTTGGGAGGCTGAGATTGGGAGGATCGTGGTTTGAGGCCAGCCCAAGCCAACAGTTCAAGAGGCCCCAACTCTAAAATAACCAGCGCAAAATAGACTGGAGGTGTGGCTCAAGCAGTAGTGTCTGCTTTGCAAGTACAAAGTCCTGAGTTTAAGGGAAGAAAAAAAGAAAAGAAAAAATATAGGTTAAGTTTTGCTTTGTTTGCAAATCAAGTAAGAGTAAGAACACTCATGATGCCCAAACTGCTTTATCTGCTAATGGACTGTTTAGACTTGAATTCCATTTTAAATTACTTTAACAACAGAATGACAGGGAAAAATCAATATTGATTAATCCAACTAAAAGAGAAAGTGGTTTTTTTGGGCATGTGTGGCACTGGGATTTGAACTCAGGGCCTACACCTTGAGCCACTCCACCAGCCCTTTTTTGTGAGGTTTTTTTCAAGATAGGGTCTCGTGCACCATTTGCCTGGGCTAGCTTTGAACTATGGTCCTCTTGATATCTTCCTCCTGAGTAGCTAGGCAGGTGTGAACCAACAGTGCCTGGCCCAAAGAAAGGACTACTTGTTTGTTTGAATTTCTTTGGTGGTACTGGGGGTTTGAACTCAGGGCCTCACACTCGCTAGGCAAGCACTGTATCACTTGAGCCACTCTACCACCACTTGAGCCACTTACCAGCCCTGTTAGCTGTGTATAGTGGCAAACACCTGTGATTCCACCTACTTGAGAGGCTGAGGTAGGAAAATCATGAGTTCAAGACCAGCCTGGGCTAGGTAGCAAGACCATGTCTCAAAGAAAAGTATTATATAAATAGTACCAAGGGCTTACATCATCTTATGAATTCAGGTCCATTGTGACCACTAGAAGTAGACTACTTTAGAGAAATAGATGTATCTTTTGAGTGAGCTATCAGGTGGAGTCACTGGCGGGACTAACCCAGCATGACATGTAGTATTCATTTTCAATGATCCTTTGGTTCTCTAAGAGCTAGTGACGATGCAAAAATCAGTTCATAACATCCTAAGTACCAGGGTGTCTATACTTCCATACAGCCACTGCACAAACATACTGTATTTCCTACTAGAAAGTCTATGTGAACTCTGACCCTGAGACAAGTCAAAACCAGGCTCTGTATTCCTTGCACAACCTCAGAAGTGCTTTCTCTGTTTAACAGTCAAGTCTGCTTTCTTTCTCTATAAAGCATACTTTTAAAGGAATAGTCATCCCTTTTGACAGCTGTGAATATGTAAATAGGGCAATGACAGAGAATGTCAGGGTTCATCGCTTTTCATTTTATATAAACACATCACAAACATTTTAACATGCTAACATTTAAATTACCGTCTCATATGCTTCTGCGAAGTTGGTGACATCCTCGCGAAAAGTTTCTACAGCCTCAAGGAGATTACTTTTAAACTTTGGTTGCACTTGAACCAGTTCATCTTGCACAGAAACCTGGAATAAAAAAGAATATTCCACAGGAGAGTTCAAGGGCTGTACTAAAAAGGAAAACTATAATTCTATTCCAGCAAGTTTGTCATCTCTGAATGTCTCTGCTTGTAATAAGACACATAAACAACCCCTATGCACACACAGGAGACTCACATCACTCTAGTTTGTGACCCAAGAGCCAAGTCATTCTCTCTGTAATTTGCAAACTGCAGTTAGCAAAAAGCTTTCTGTCTGAACCAACTCAGGCCATCCCTGGGAAAAAGTGATTACTAGAGACCCAGTCTGGATCACATGCTGTCTCTGGGACAATGCCAAAGGCTGCAATTGGCCATGTCTAGTCAGTTCATATGGTGGCAGTAATTGGAGTGATTCCCTCAAAGAAAGTGATAAAAATTTAGCAGATACCCTCCACAATGGTCTTGATAGTTTTTACTCAAACCTTCAACAGCAATAACACTTAAATAATGCTTGCTATCAGCCATGCTCTTTCATACACTAACTCATTCAATCTTCAGAACAACCCTATGTAGTAAATTATATCATGCTAATATTTATGTTCGCTTTACAGATGAGAAAACTGAGGCACAGACAGGCTAAGTAACTTCCCCCAGAGGTTCCAAAACTGATATGAGTCAAGGTCAAGATTCAAAATCTGGCAGTGTAGTCCAGGGCCCTTGTTCATCACTGCTCTCAACAATACCATCTATCGAGAGGGAGGAAAAAGGAAGGGTTAGTGAGTTTAACACCAACGTTAAACCCGTAAAAGAACAATTCAAGTGAGTCTTTTCCACTGAATGATTCACAGAAGACTAGGTCTCACTGGATCTCCATGGAGAGTTCTCGCTTTCTTTCCATGACTCACTTCCCTGACTAACCTTGAAAAAAGCTTTTCTCAAGGTAATCAACTAGTCAACATCAAACACTAATTTAAATAAATATGAGTATAAAAGGTATTTATATGAATATTACTAAGTGACCACATAAAGAAACTGGAAAACAAAGGCTAGTAACTTATATAAAACCATACAGCTGACCAGTAACAGGGCTGTGGTCACAAGCTCTGACCCCAGATCCAGTCTGGCTACTGTGTCTGCTTCTCTATCAGTGACAAATCTTCCCATAAATGATAAATTTTAAACCAACCACCAATTTATTTCAGATCCAAAACAAATTTTCAGTGTAATTCAAGAATGTGGACCGGCCTTTGGAGTTCACTTTCGATGTCTAATCTGTGGTGCATGAATGTTTACTAACTTCAAAAATGCTTATAAACTTTATGACCATAAATGTTATTTAAAAGAAAAAATACCTCAACCCAGTAGCCTAACTAACCTAACCCTTCACCTTAACAAACTAGACAAAGAACAAAGCAAGCAGCGGAAGGAGATAATAAAAGCCAGAGTATAGACACAGCCTAGAGAGAAGAGAAAGTCTACAAACCAAAGCTTTAAAAAAAAAAAATCAACAAAATTGACAAGCCTTTACTAGACTAGCCAAGAATAAAGGAAAGAAGACTCAATTTACTAAAATTAGGAATTAAAGGGTAGCTATCACTACCAGCCTTATAGAAATAAAAAACAGTATAAGAACCCAATCAACAGAGTGAACAGGCAGACTATGAAATGAGAGAAAATATTTGTGAGTCATACACTTTATATGTCCAGAATATTTAAAGACTCCTACAATTCAACAACAGAAGATAAACACCTTAATTTAAAAATGGGCAAAAGACTTGGATAGACATTTCTCCTAAGAAGGACTATAAATGGCCAAAAAGCTAATGAAAAAAATGCTCCATATCAGAAATTATTACAGAAAATCAAAATCACTAGTTGCAAATCAAAACCACAATGAGATGCAAGCTCACCGCCTAGGATAGCTACTGTCAAGGAACAAAAAATAACAAATGTTGGTAAAAATGTGGAGAAATTGAAACCTTGTGCAGTGTTAGTGCAATATAAAATGCTGAAGCACCTATGAAACAACATAACAATTCCTCAAACAATTAAAAACAGAATTACCATATGATCCATCAATTCCCCTTTTGGGAAGATATCCAAAAGAGTTTAAAGACATACACATAAATTCACAGCTGCATAATGAATGGATAAACAAAATGGAAGATTATTCAGCCTTAAAAAGGAAGGAGATACAAACACATGCTACAATGTAAATGAACTCTGATGACATTGTGCTACGTGAAATAAGCCAGTCACAAAAAGACAAATATTGTATTAATCCCACTTCTATAAGGTACTTACAATAATCAAATTGAGACAGAAGGAAGAATGGTGGTTGTCAAGGAATGGGGAGGTGGTAGAGAGCTTTGTTTAATGGGTACAGAGTTTCACGTTTACAATTTTTAAAAGTTCCAGAGATTAATCACACATAAGTTGAATGTATCTAACACTCCTGAACTTAAAATGGTTATGATGGTAAGTTTTATATTATGTGTATTTTACTACAATTTTTAAAAAAGTTTAAGGTACACTGACTAAGTCAATGAGGTATGGGTTAAGGACAGACATATAGATCAACAAAACAGAACTGAAAGTCTGAAATTAGCCTTGCATTTCTGGTCAACTGATTTTCAACACGGTGCCAAGACAATTCATTGGTGAAAGGACAGTTTTCCAATAATGATGCTGAGACAACTGGATAATGCATTTGCATATTGGACTGCTGCAAACTGACACCATGGATGAAAATTAGCTCAAAATGAATCAGAGACCTAAATGAAAGGCTAAAATTATAAAAACTCCTATGGGAAAACACAGGAGCGAATCTTTGGAACACTCGATTGGGCAATGGTTTTCTAGATATGATACCAAAATATAAGTAACAAAAGAAAAATAAATTGGACTTCATCAAACTTAAAAACTTATGGCAGATCCAAGATGGCGACTAGGGCACAGAAGCAGACAGCGTGAGCTCCATGAATCAAAAACCTTGCTGAGACGCTGGAGTCACACTTGGCAGAAATCAAGCACCAAGGAGAATCAAAACTTCGACACCCTAAACCCCTAGCCTGCAGAAAGCTTCTCCACACCACATTAACATGGAGAAAACAGGTGAGCTGCTGCTGCTACCACCTGCCAACTCCAAACCTGCTTGGGAGACATTCAGACCAAACAGGTAAGCACCAAGCGTCATGCGGTATTCCCCTAGCCACCCATGGGATAAACTGGCATAGCATCCTGGGCAGACTGACTTCCCCCACCCCCCACAAAAAAAAAAAACTTAACAATAAACAATGAAATGAAAACTAGCACACAGCAGAGAGGGTGGGAACACTGAAAGTGCATCAGAGAAGCGGGGAGGAGCAAGAAGCTGATCTCCTTGTGAACTATTGGTAAACAAACACCTGGAAAGGTAGGAACACAGACAGTGGGCAGGTGATAAGCCACTGCCTGAAGTAGGGCAGTTAGCAGACCACAAAGCTCATCTCCTGAGCCAGTGAGCAACACCCAAAGTCAAACAGCTCTGCAAAACTGAAAAACAAACAGTGAACCATCACAACATGCTGACAGGAGGGGGCAGGCCAATGGATCACTGACCTTGCCCCAGAGAAAGGGGGAAAGGCAAAGAAACAAACCCCCAGTAAACAAGCACAGCAAAAAGCCAACTCCAAAGCGGGACAGCTGGTGGACTACAGAGATGATCTCCTGAACCTGAGGACAGCATGCAAACTTAAACTGCCACACCTCTCTGAGGGAGGAGCTGACCAAGCAGCTGCTGTTGAAAGACAGAAGAAAAAAAAACACTACCCACAGGCCAACCACCTATCAAGACTACAACAGAGCTTCTACTTAAATACCAACACCAGGACTGGATGCTGAAGGAGTAACACCAAAACTTAAACTAAGACTGAAATTCTATTGTTCCTGAACCTCGAGGGTTTTTTTGTTTGTTTGTTTGTTTTGTTTCTTGTTTGCTTGTTCATCTCTCCCCATTGATTTCTTTGGTTTTGTTTTTTTTGTTGTTGTTGTTCTTAGTTTTATTATTGTGAATTAGTTAATACTAAATTACACCCCGACCAGGACAGAAAGACCACACACACACTTAGCTAAAAACCCAATACAGCCACAAAACAAAATTAAACCAAGGGAAAGAAAACAGGTGACTGAAACCACAAACTAGCCCATCAAGAAAATAGTTGCACAGTACCAAGTGGAGCAATGGGAAAAAGGAAAAGGGATGGAAACCATTATCCCCTAAAAAATAATTTAATACAGGATTCAGAGGGAAATGAGGAAAATGGATACCCAGTTCCAGACTCCAACAAAACAAAGATAAATGACACCAAGGAACCCAATGATGTTCACAAGAACATCCTCAAAGAAGAAATCCTGCAAGTAATCACTAAGAATTTCATGGAGATGTTATTAGACATGGTTAACCAAAACGTTACAAGAGGCACTCAAGAAATTTCAAGACACTAAAAATAAGGAATATGAGAAGACACAGAAACAAATAAATGAACTCATAGGAGCCCTAAGTAAACACTATAGAGAGATAAATGAATTAAAGGCAAAAATAGACATTAAAGAGGAAGTGACTCATGATATAGAAAACCTCAGAAAAAAGAATGAAACAGAAACACAAAACACAATGGAAGGTCACCCCAGCAGACTAGAACAAGAAGAAGACAGAATCTCAGAACTTGAAGATAAAATGGAAATTAAAGGAAAAACTGAAGCATTATTAGTCAAACAACTCAAGACCTGCGAAAGGAATATGTAAGAATTTACTGACTCTATCAAAAGACCAAACCTGAGAATCATGGGCATTGAAGAAGGAGAAAAGATGCAAGCAAAAGGGATTTATAATATATTCAATAAAACAATAACAGAAAATTACTGAAATCTAGAAAAAGTTATGTCCATTCAGGTATAGGAAGCCTCCAGAACACCAAACAGACTTGACCAAAATAGAACAACGCCACGACATATTATCATTAAAATAAGCACAGAGAACAGAGAAAGAATATTGAAGGCTATAAG